TCAAACCGGTCAGTCCTAGAGGAGATCAACCCTGACTGCTCTTTAGAAGGCCAGATAGTGAAGATGAAACTCAAATACTTTGGCCACCTAATCAGAAGGAAGGACTCCCTGGAGAAGAGCCTAATGCTGGGAACAATAGATGGCAGAAGAAGGGGACGGCAGAGAATGAGGTGGCTAGATGGAGTCCTTGAAGCAGTTGTGTGAGCTTAAGTGGACTCCGGGGGATGGTGGAGGACAGGAAGGCCTGGAGGAATGTTGTCCATGGGGTCGCGATGGGTCGGACATGACTTCATGACTAACAACAACAACAATAGATGGGCCAAGTTATATTGAGCCCTAGATTGCAAAGAATTAGGCCCCAAAATTTGGCCTTGGCCCTGTTCATGAAGAGATCCCATACACACAAATAATAGGCAGAATAGGGTAATCTTTATCTAACAGCGGTTTAGTAACGCGAGGGAACCAATGAGTCTGCTGGAAAAAACTGAACTCAAGCGAACCCGACCAGCAGCTGTTCCACTCCTACTGTTCTGCCTCTGAAGAGGCGGAACTACCATTAAATCCCGCCCACTCCTAATCCTCCTCCCCCTCTTCCTGTTTTCTGTCCTCTGGCGCAGGCGCGATGCAGCCCTTTAAACGTGCGCAAGGAGTTCCAGCAACCACATTCCCTTGCTGCTTGAATCCTTCCGCCTTGGCTCTGGGGACTTTTTCTTCGGCTTTCTTTTGCCTTTGGAGCTTCCGGCCTCTACCAGAGCCCTTGCGTGAAGCTCCTAAATGAGATTCCTGCCTCGGAAAGGTGTTTCTAAGGGAGTGCGATGACGCTTGGAGTAGGCACCTTTTACACCTGAGGAGGCTGGCGGAGGGAGACGCTTTGTTGTTGATGGAGCAGCCTCAGTGGATGGTATTGAGAAAGTCCAAGATGGCGGTGTCTGCCAGGCCGAGGGGACCCGGCAGGCCCTGAGTCCAGGGAGGGTGGATGATAGGAGTCACACTGGGCCGCGTGAGGCGTCGGGGAGACCTCTGAGAGGAGGCGGGAGCGAGGCCAGTGGGAACCGGGACGAAGGAGAGCAGTTACGGCTGAGTGGCCTAGTCACCCCCGCCCGTCAGGCCTGCAGATCAAGTGAGGGGGAGGGGCCGGCCATGGCCCCCTGAGGGGCCCCCCAGAGAGGAAGGAGCGGGTGGGGGGTATGGAGTCCAGGGAGGAGCAAGGGGAGCAGAGCGAAGGAGGAGACCAAGGGGCCTGGGCGGAAAATGGCCCCCCTGGGGACCAGGGAGACTGGGGGGGCCGTGGGGAAAAGGGAGATCGTGGGGTCCGGAGCTCGAGGGGGGAGAGAGGCCCTTCAGGTGAGAGAGGGGAACATGGGGATTGGGGGGAGCGTAGCTGCAAGACAGAGAAGGGAGAGCGAAGTGCCAAGGGTGAGCGGGCTCCCCGGAGTGACAAGAGTGAGCAGATCGAGGGAACTCCTCGGGGTGAACGAGCTCTTCGGTCTCCTAGAGTCTCAGACTTGACAGACCGGAGTTTGTGGGGGGCAGAGCAAGGAGAATGGGTGGACCGTGGACTGCCCTGGGCTGGGGAGCCTGACCCCTTGCTGCCCCCTGAGGATTTTTTGCCGCCTCCCGAGTGTCCAGTGTTTGAGCCTAGTTGGGCCGAATTCAGCGATCCACTAGGTTACATTGCCAAGATTCGGCCTATTGCAGAAAAGAGTGGTATCTGCAAGATCCGCCCGCCTGCTGTAAGTATGGGGTGAATGGGCAGGATGGCATGACGGCTGGGGATTTTCCCAATTTTGGGGGTGTCCTGTGCTTGTCAGTGCCCATGTGGAATTAGGTTAGTAGGTTCTCTCTGAGTGACACAGGTGATTGGAGGGGATGATACTCATTGGGATTGGTGTCCATACTCATGAGCCTGTAGAGTAGCTTGTGTGGTGATTATATTGGAGTAGTTTATGAAGCTGAATTGGTATGTCTTTGGATAGCAAAGAGTCCCTGTGAGGCTGTGTTTCTGGAGACTGAGAGTTCTGGGTGAAACAGGGTTTGCCATGTCTTTGGGAGGGATATGGAATGGAAATAAATATTTGTGGATAGTCATGGGAATTGAAAGAGCCTGCTGGAAGATGTATGAGGTTGATGGGATTGAAAGATTTGGGCCCTCCATACATACTTCATTTGGCTACTGGGATACTTGTCTCTGTGTGATGGTGGAATGTATTAGTAATATTTATAGATGTTGCACACATTGTACTACTTGGATGTTGAGTAGTTTGCTGTTGTCCCAAAACATCACTTGCATCATCAATGACAGGATGTGGTGTATTTGAGTGTGATGAGCTTTGACTTGAGAAAGATTGATTTTCTGTCTACATATGACAGGCGCCGATACAGGAACTGTGTCAGTAGGCTTGAAAGAGGCATGAATGTATCTTTTAATTGTTGAAACCAACATTTCCAGGTTACATTCCCTGCATGGGAAGATGGGTTGACTATGTCAATAGTAATAGTATCTGTGTTTGGATGTAACTACTCTCATTTTGAAGAGCTGGTTTGTGGTTAGAAAAGTTGTAGGTTGGGTCATCCCATCTTTTTATTACTTCATGATATTGTCCCCTATGTCATGATGCCTCATGAATTCTAATTTTTGATACTTGGGCCTCAATTGTAAAGTAAAACTGCAGCAGCATCTGTAGTAAATATATAATTGCACAGATGAGTGTAAATATGTTCCATTTATTTCTGTGTTTAAGTTTACTGTATTTTCTTCCTGCTGGGGACCTGATCATAATAGTAAATGTAAAGCCAGAGACAAATGTCATTAAATTCTGTTTCTGGGCACACACAATAATATTGACATGTCCAGTATGGCTGCCAGTGGCAGAGCCTTTGTCTGTAAAGTAACAGAAGGAAAGTTGAAGACTAGAAAGTATTGGAGCAATTTGTTTTCTCTGATGAGAGTTTGCTCCTCATAAGGCATAACCTGGAGAGTTGATGCTTCTATAGGACCAGAGAGCAGGAGATGCTGAAGTAGGTATGTCTAGAGGGGAAGGTATTGCCAAACCCCATTTCTACTTCAGCTTTACAGAAGCTGTTGGAGCAGGTTTCAGCCTTCCATCCTACTTTCTAACCCACCTGATGTGATTTATCTCAGAGTTGCAGGCTGCCAATTCTTGTTTGTTGGTTCATCACAGTAAGTAGTTTTGTGAAAGTGAAGTGGTAGGCATTGTTAGGAATTGTTAAGCTGTATCTCCTTTGTTTGTTTATGTAAGAATATATACTTCAGTCAGTACAGCCCAGAGTGATAGTTTCTGCTCTTTAATTCATTTTGGAGGGTGGGAACTGGTCTTTCTGCTCATGTGATACTGGACAGGGGTTCTAAGAGTTGATTTGTTATGAGTGTTTGATTTTTGCCATCCCATTTGTAGGTTTTGAAAAGGTTAGGCAGTATTGCTGTTTGACCTTCTTTACCATTGTGATTTGTGAGCTGAGTTTGCTAATATGCATTTAGAAAAAATTACAGCATTGTAAATCTGTCATCTTTACTTCTCAGTCAGATGCTTTGATATGGAAATCAGCAGTGTGATAAAATATTTCACAATTAAGCCAGTAATAACTCCATCTTAATCTGCCTCAAATTCTTATGCAGTTTAATCATACAAACAGTAATCAATAAACTATTTCTTTTTGCTACTACACATATTAAAATATTTTTCTTTAATACTACAAGAAATGACATGTATTCATGTGGTTTGTACAGCAGAGAGGAGAGGATCCTGTTTGTAGCTCCTGCCTTGAGAAATTAAAATATGTAACCATCAATTGACCCACTTCGAATAAGCTTTTGTTATGAGGCCTTGAATCTCTTCCCCACTCACACACCCCCTTTCACAGTCCTTCCCTTGTCTTTCTGTCCCCAGCAGCTTATGACGATAAGCAGTTGCCCCACCCTTGAAGCTCTGCATCTGTGCTTTGGCATCAGGAGAGTAGTTCCTATATGTCCGATGCCTTAGGGAAGAATATTTGTGGACTGGTTAAAGAGGCACTGATGTCCTCTGTTTCTGTCAAGTTCCCTGTGTATAAATGGTCAAGGCAAAGACACACAGCACCTGCTTTATAGTGCCTAATGTGTTCATGCTTCACTAGGAGGCATCCATGCATAAAGCTAGGTCTCTTTCAAATGTCAGCTTTATCCCTGCTTGAGCTCTGTCTCTTGTATATTAAAGAAGACTATTCCATTGCTAAACTAAGGGTCTCTCATTTTAACCTACACTTATATTATTCACTCCAAGCTGGAAAATTGAATTGGGATCATGTGAGGCCCTGCTTTCTGAATTCTAGGTGTATAGTTATTTTTGCTCCACTGTGGGTGTTCTGGACAAAATATCTTGCTCTGTGGTGGTAGTTAACAGACTTGTACACATACAGATAATTGGGATCCTAACTGTATGACCTTTTCACCTATTCTTCAGGACTGGCAGCCTCCTTTTGCTGTGGAAGTGGATAACTTCCGGTTTACTCCACGGATACAGAGGCTTAATGAATTGGAGGTAAGTCTTGAAGGTATGGAGATATGGAAATATGATACAGCGTTGTCCACTTTTCTAGTAGGGCTGAAAGGCTGAATACATTTATTTCAATTTATACCTTACCTTTCCACAAAAGAAATGGTAAACAAGGCTTTACACCAAAGGTGGAGCATTTTTAATACCAGAAAAGATGAGTGGAACCCTTTCAATAAATAATACATATATTCAAACACTCATACACAGGATTTCAAAGTATACAATAATTTTTCATAATTTGTTTTCATGGTACTTTGTCAAGTTGTAATTGTCTACATTGCAAAAACAATAAGAAAAGGGTCAGGTTATTAAGAGCCTGATGCTGCTTTGGAGTCCAGCTTAATACTATATGTTATCAGGATATTCTTGTATATTATATATTTCAGCATTTCTGTTTTTATAGTTCATATTTATATGTATTCTCTCATAATATAGAAATGTACGCACACTCTCTTACGTGCTTTCATGTGATTTATTGTTAAGAACCTTGTTTTGAGTTCACTGTTCAAGTATCATTCTCTTTTTCTTGTACTTTCCAAGTGATTTGCTTTCATAAGATAGCTAGATAAGGTATTTGAAGACTGTGCTGTAATTTGGTGATCACAAGAGTGATCTTATCTTGGTGTGTCCAGTTTCTGTATTGTAGAATGGCCACGTCATTTCTTTAAAAATTCTGATTTTCAAACAAAAACATGTTATCAGAGCTCTGAGTCAGACAGGAGTTCAGAAGAAGACCTTTTCTTAAAAGAAATCTTCTCTGTTTTGTGGCTGGTACACCAAATCAAAAAACAGTTCCAAACCATTTCAGTGTGTGTGCATACTGTGTTTTTCATGGTCAAAACTGACTGAATCCCAGCATGCTACAACAAGCTGGAGAGCAACAGTTGGTGGCTGAAAGATAAGATTATTTGAAAAGTTTTGTTGAAAGTTACTGATGTGAAAGAAACTGATTTCAGTTTGTTATCTCCCCATCACCAGGCACAGACCAGGGTGAAGCTGAACTATTTAGATCAGATTGCAAAGTTCTGGGAAATCCAAGGCTCTGCTCTGAAAATCCCCAATGTAGAGAGGCGAATCCTTGATTTATACAGCCTGAGCAAAGTAAGTTGGAATTAGATTTTTCTTGAAGAGACAGATGGGAGCTAACATTTAAAGTAAGTTTGGGAAGGGGAGGTAGAACTGATGAGTTTTGTTACTGGTGTTGGTAAAGATCAGAAAAGCCTCTTATGGGTTACTGATTACACCTGAAACACACTGCTAGAAATGAAGGGAATTGTGGTTATTATTTGAAGATGGAGACAGGAAGATCCAGGTATTCTTTTGGGTTAGTATCTTGAGATATGTGTGTGTGAGATGATTGCATGATATTAGCTGAGCTGGAGAAAATTATTTCTCAATATTCTTGTCCAGATTGTGATGGAGGAAGGTGGATATGAAGCCATCTGCAAGGATCGTCGGTGGGCACGAGTGGCCCAACGCCTTTCCTACCCATCAGGAAAGAACATTGGCTCTCTCCTTCGTTCTCACTATGAGCGCATTATCTATCCTTATGAAATGTACCAGTCTGGTGCCAATCTGGTGGTGAGTATTGAGTCATTTAAGACTTTGTTTCACTTTCCATTTCCTTCTTGGTTATTCTAGATATGCACAGGAAAGCTCAGACCTCCTGAACACCTCCCCCCCTTGGGTTTTGTTTCCTGTACAAAGATGCCATGTTTTCTCTGTGTGGTGGTAGGAGGCATCCATAATGGGTTATGTCTCCACCAGCTAGAGCAAGGCAGGGAACATGTAACCAGGCTCTTTGTGATCCCTAGTCATCGGCTGGGGACAGAGGAGGTTTGCCTGGTCTTAATGCTTCTTCCTCCACCAGCAATGCAATACCCACCCGTTTGACAATGAGGAGAAGGACAAGGAGTATAAGCCACACAGCATCCCATTGCGCCAATCAGTGCAGCCTTCCAAGTTCAACAGTTATGGGCGTCGGGCCAAACGTCTGCAGCAGGAGGTGAGTATAACACATAACTCCATCCCTAATTACAATTTTTGATCTGGGTTGGGCAAGTCCATAACTCTCAGGGCTCTAGCACACACCCGCTCCTCAGCTTGGCAGAAAGCCTTATTTCCTTCCAGGCCTCCTAGAGTGTATCCTTCCCACACAAAATAGCTATGTCTTCCTGGGTCTTTGAAGGCTATAAGTATTTATCAGTTTCTTTTTTACTGCTCTGAGACAAAGCATCCAATTATTTTGAGGAGGAACAAGATCAGTGATTAAATCAAGTTGTAGGAGAGCCTCCAGCCTATAGAGCCTGTTTCTGTGCAATAGATGTTGACTCATCTTCTGTGTATTTAATCTTTATAGGCTAGCAACTTAGCTTGAAACCTCATAGGTCTGCTGTGAGCCACCAAAACTTAGTTGGGATGTAGATGAGTGGACTCACTCAGCAGTGGGGGGAGTGTTTTTTAAAGGGATCAAAAATCAAGTTGTTGGCTTTGGACCAGTTTGGTGGTGGGGGATACTGAATCTGATTACAGCATTTTTGAGAGTAGGCATGTACTTATTAATTAATTCACATATATAGACTACTTTATAGTAGGTGCCTTCAAAGAGGCATACAATAAAATAAAAGTACAATAAAAGATCAAGGAAACTAACAGTATGGTCTGGAAAAAACTAAAAAGGCACAATAATTTTGAGGTACAGATTATTCAAAACTGCAGGCCATCTTAAATAGAGAGGCCTAGCTCCAGTTCAAGAGAAGGGCTAGAAGAGTCACCCAGAGAGGAGCTTTCTAGAATCTGGGCACCATGATGAAGAGAATACTGGCTTGTGTAGCTGCCAATCATATTTCAGACAGTGATGAAATGCAGAAAAACTTCTTGCCAGATCTGATTATGTGAGCAGGACCAAGCTGGAGGAAGAGATTTTTTTCAAGTAGCTTGGACTCATACTATTGAGGGCATACCTGCAAGCCATATCCCCTCCTGGCTATCTACTCTGGAAAAGAGCTTTCAGTATCTTTTCTCAAGTAATGTTTAGAACACTACAGTATGTCAAAAGGTCAAATCTAGGTTGTTTACATATTAGATTTGGATCTCTTACAGATCTGTAGTGACTACAGAGTCGTAGGTGTGCCAAATTTAGCGTGCATTTGACCTTTTGGGCACTCAGTAGTGCTTTGGATGCCATTTTTATTCACGTTTTTAATACCTGACAGACTGTTGCCTACTGCAAGAGTGAGATTCCTGAGAGAGAAAACGCCATCTGGACCTTCCAAAGTTGTCTACCCCTGATTTAGGGTTTAATAAACATGGGATTAGTATGGAAATGAGTCTGGTGACTATGTGTGTGTGTGTAATTTTGTTTCCTAGATTTCATTTCCAGTAGTATATTGGAAGGTGAATCTGATTATAAAAGAGAGTGCAGTAAGCCAGAATCTTTTGTGGTTTTGCTCATCACTAGAAAAATAAGAGCACAAAATTAAATCCTTGGCATGAAAATTATATATTCATAATCATGCTTATGGACTAGAATCCCTACAAATGCTTTTATTAAAAGATTGGTTAGAATTCCATCTTCTTCCATTTTCACCAGATTGAGAAAGTGAGTGTGACAGCACTGATTACAAGTGCATGAATAGATTAATACATGTGTATTAAGTGACCTTGACTAAATTTAGAGCAGAGAGAATAAAAATTAAGATTTTAGGGTTCTTTTTAAAAAGATTTTCTTTGTTTCTGACTGGCTCTCCTCTTGTTTCTGTGCTACTTCTGTGAAATGGGAGCTAAGAGCCTGTTGTGATTTCTAAACCACCCTGCCACTACCTTTAAATGATTGAAGAATTCCCAAAAACAGTAAAACCCACTTCCTCCCTGGTGATTCCATTTGCTGGCTTACATGTTAATTTTTTTACACTTATGTTTAGATAAAGGAGTGGTAGACTAAGTAGTCACCTCCTTCATTCCATACTGATAGTCCCCCTGCTCCCCCTGGTTTCCCTTGCTGATGCCCTCATAAAAGTTCCTAGAGCCCTGTTGATCCCCAATCCCCACACATTTTGTCGCCCTCCTGCAGGAATCCGACTTGTGCCCTGAACCTGCCAATGCCACAGCTCTGTTACCCGAGCAAGCGCCTCGAGCATGGGTACTGTTCCTGTTCTGTCCACCTCTCCTGCCTCTCTCTTGCTCTGTTGACTTGCCCTGCTTCATGGTTAGAAGTCCATGGGCTACATGGAACAGGAGATTTGGCCTAAAAAGATAATTGTCCGAATATACACTGCTTCACTTGAGTTTGCAGTACATTCTGGGCATGTTCCCATTTTGGGATGTATCTTGCTCAGAATTCTGTTCCACTGCAAGATGAGTTTTCTTCCACAGGAGCTCAGTCACAGCTCTGCACTGTCCTAGCATTACTTCAGTCTTTTGCAACAATTCTTTCTTCTCTCCACCCTGGACTGTATTCTGCTATTGCTTTTCCTGTGCTGCTACTTTCTGAAAGTTTCTGGGTCACAGTTTAAGACAGCTAGCCTCACACCGCTATTCCTTTCTAACTATGCTTTTCTTGCAGCCGGAGCCAACAGAGGAAGATATTGAAAAGAATCCAGAGCTGAAGAAACTGCAGATTTATGGTGCTGGTCCCAAAATGCTGGGTCTGGGCCTTGTGGCCAAGGACAAGAACATGCGCAAGAAAGGTGGGAACGGTGGACTAGCCCTACAATTGGGAGCCAGAGGAGAACTCAGCCTCCTCTGTTCTAAGTTTATTTCTCCCTAATATAGACAAGGAAATGCCGGAGTGCCCTCCAACAGTGATAGTGAAAGAAGAGACCCCTGTTCCAGAGACTAAGCTGGAGCCCACCTCACCCCGAGGCTATGCAAATATGAAAGAGGAACTGAGGCACAGCCCAGAACCTTGCACCAAGATGACAATGCGCCTGCGTCGCAACCACAACACTCAGTTTGTAAGTAGAATTGCCACTCTGCCTCTGCTAGAAGTTTTATGTTGTTGCGGGGAAAGTATTCAGATTTTTACTTCCTTTTACTTGCTCCAAGTTGCAAGATCCCTTCCTTCCCTGTCCTTGGTAGTACCAGATTGGTCAACAGAGACTGGTTGCTGGGAGTTACAACCTGAGGCTCATGGCATCCATAACCCTCCTAAGGGCTTGAATAGACAGATGAAGAAAATGATGGCTGTACTGTTCATAGCTGCCCTGTAGTATCTTCTTCACTCACTGCTGGCTGCTGTCAGTTGAGCATCACAGGCTAGAATGAACAGAATGACAGTGTTTAGAATGTGCTTTTTGTTTTCTTCCAGATTGAGTCTTATGTATGTCGGATATGTGCACGGGGAGACGAGGATGACAAGCTGCTGTTATGTGATGGCTGCGATGACAACTACCACATTTTTTGTCTCTTACCACCTTTGCCTGAGATTCCAAAAGGAGTCTGGAGGTGTCCCAAATGCGTCATGGCGGTAAGAGGTCCTGGCCTGCTCCTGACCCCAAGCCCAATAACATGCTTTCCTGACTTGACATTTTATGTTTGGCCTATAGTTATATGTGATGGCTCCTGGTTTAGATTGAGTTCTTGACATGTAAATGGTTCAGGGGCATAAGGCAGGTCTGATTTATGATTTGGGATGGATGGCAAAGAGTAACCTCTTCTTCATGACTTCTTTCACCTATTTCCCTGTCTTTGATCTTCCACAGGAATGCAAGCGCCCCCCAGAAGCTTTCGGCTTTGAGCAGGCCACTCGGGAGTACACACTACAGAGCTTTGGGGAGATGGCAGATTCTTTCAAGGCTGACTATTTCAACATGCCTGTACATGTGAGTCCAAGCACCCACAGTGCCAGCTCATGGACTACTGGTATCCAAACTACTTAAGAGAAGGCAGTATAGTCTGGGGGATGCCAAAAGCAAGGGATGCTGTGTCCTTTTTTTGGCAGATGCTATCGTGCAAGATTCCAGAAAGTGAAGAGTGAAAGGTTTAAATTCCTAATTTGCTTGCTTGCTTGCTTTCCCAGATGGTGCCAACAGAGCTGGTGGAAAAGGAGTTCTGGCGCTTGGTAAACAGTATTGAAGAGGATGTGACAGTGGAGTACGGGGCTGACATCCATTCCAAGGAATTTGGAAGTGGCTTCCCCATCAACGATGGCAAGAGGCAGCTCTCTCCAGAGGAAGAGGTGTGTGCCCTGTTGAAGGGCAGTTGCTCTCCTCCTCTTGCTCCTCACAACTTGCAGCTGAATCTTTATCGCTAGCTCCATCCTCTTTTTCAGCCCCTTGCTTGTAATTGCAGGAGTATGCTGTCAGTGGCTGGAACCTCAACGTGATGCCAGTACTGAAGCAGTCAGTGCTATGCCACATCAATGCTGATATTTCAGGCATGAAGGTACCATGGCTCTATGTGGGCATGGTGTTTTCTGCCTTCTGCTGGCACATCGAGGATCATTGGAGTTACTCAATAAACTACCTCCACTGGTGAGCATGGGAAGGGAAATGGGACAGGCCTGCTGTCTAGGTTCTCAAATGTTTTCACACTTAAGGCCCACCAGGTGGAAATAAGGCAGTCATTATTACAAGTAGTACACCCAGGAGTGTAAGAAAATCTTAAAAATATTTAAGAAATCTAAGCAGAAAGAGAACTGAAAGGAAAAGCAGGTGGACAGAGGTATGGTTTTTCATGGCACTTTGTATAAATTTTAAGAGGGGTATCAAAAGAATGGCTAATATGAAGAAGCCTACATTGTTTTAATGTTAAAGCAGTGTTCAGAAAAAGTCTTGCTTGCTTCTGTGATGACTTTCTATCCTTTGCTCAATTCATTCACACTCTCCTTCAAAGCTTTCAACTTTTTGTAAGCTGTTTTGGGAGAAAAAATGGTCAAAAAGTTAGATGAAGATCTCAGTTGCAATTCTGTGCATGTTTCAAGAAAAACCCTACAACTCTTAACATTTCTCAAGCTTAATCCTGCTGGCTGGACCATACTGGGAGTTGTGAGACTTTTTTTCTCCTAAATGTGCATTGGATTACACCCTGAGTAATCATATTTGTGTCTGAATGACCACATCTGTATATTTCTTGGGGTTAATTAAGGCTATGAGTGGCTTTTAGTCAAGCTTACATAAGCTTTTAGTGGCTTTATGTATTATCACCAGAACAGAAGGCAGTATGCCTCTGAATATCAGGTGCTGGGAAGCACGAGTGGATGGGTGCCATTGTGGTTACATCCTGTTTTGGAGCTTTCTAGAGGTGATTGTGGGAACAAAATGTTGAGCTAGATCTGCTTGGCGGGCCAAAGGCCTAACTGCTCTTACATTCATAGACCTGCCTTCTGTGCTTTGGTGATGTGTACCATACTGGGGTGATGGAAGGAAGGATGCAGAGGCTGGATCAATGGGTGCCTGGACTACTCTCTGCAGAATTCTAGGGATAGTTGAAGGTAGCATTTCCTGACTAGCTTTTCTTTTTGCTAGGGGTGAGCCGAAGACCTGGTATGGGGTCCCATCTTTTGCAGCTGAACATCTGGAAGAAGTCATGAAGAAACTAACCCCAGAATTGTTTGAAAGCCAGCCAGATCTGTTGCACCAGTTGGTGACGCTCATGAACCCCAACACACTTATGGCTCACGGGGTCCCAGTGAGTCCTGTGTGTGTGTGTTGTGTTTGTGCTTGTGCTCATGTTCATGTTCATGTTCTTTCTTGCTGCGCTTCAGCCATAATCACTGTTCTCCTCACCTTTTACTTCTGTAGGTTGTCCGGACCAATCAGTGTGCTGGAGAGTTTGTTATTACCTTCCCTAGAGCCTATCACAGTGGTTTCAACCAGGGTTATAATTTTGCTGAAGCAGTCAACTTCTGCACTGCTGATTGGGTGAGTTTGGTGTCAGCCAAGGTCTCTACATGTGTTACCCTATTTGTTGTAGAGAAGAGAACAGTGAACTGTCAAAGAAGAACTAGAGAGTGGTAAATCTGGTTCTGAGGTGTGGTACACCTGATACTCTTGGGAGTCAAAAATCTTCAGTTCTATTTGAAAGTAAGCTTTTTCTCTACTTTTCTCTTTCTGTACTTCCTGTTCAGTTGCCAGCTGGTCGCCAGTGCATTGAGCACTACCGCCGCCTTCGCCGCTACTGTGTCTTTTCTCATGAAGAGCTTATCTGCAAGATGGCTGCTTGCCCTGAGAAGCTGGACCTGAATTTAGCAGCTGCTGTGCATAAGGAGATGTTTATCTTAGTACAAGAAGAGCGCAAATTGCGCAAGGCTCTCCTTGACAAGGTGAGTTTATGGTGTCTGTGGGCCCCATGGAATGGGAGGGCTAGTTGTGGATGGCCAGTCATTTCATGCATGTTCCTCCTCCACATCCCAGGGTATCACAGAGGCAGAACGGGAGGCCTTTGAGCTGCTTCCAGATGATGAGCGCCAGTGTGACAAATGCAAGACAACCTGCTTCCTGTCTGCACTGGCATGCTATGATTGTCCAGATTGTCTTGTCTGCCTCTACCACATCAATGACCTCTGCAAGTGCCCCAGCAGTAGGCAGTACCTCAGGTGGGTAGAAAGAAGCAGACTGAGTCTTCTCTCTAGGGACTGAAAACTTGCCTCCCACTTCATATAGCCCCCTTCTTTGTGTCCTCAGACCTGCATCTGTTTGCCACATGTTGGGAGTATTGTAGTAGTCTGAATATGCTTCCAACATGACTTTTTAATTTGACCAAACTGTTAAAGATTATCTTAGTGTCATTTTGAAGTGTTTAAGTTAGTGCTTGTCATACTTTGGATGGATGTCCCTGGGCATGCAGAATGGGGGACAAGCATGTGCAGTGGGAGAGCAACATTCGAGGAAGAGAGAAGTTCATCCTTCCTCCCATTAACCTTCCCACTTCCCTTCTTCTGATGCTCATTAGTACCCCAGTCATAGATACTGGCACACAACCAAAGGCTGTAGGTGTATGACTGTGTAGAAACTCTACACATAGATGCGGGGCAGATTGGTGCTGGTTGGGAGGGGCCCACATTGAAAAAGAAAGCAAAACTTCTGAGTTTGAAGTCGGTCAATGCCAAGTGTTTCACTCCCGAGCATTATTGGGCTGATGTTTCTTATTGGTGAAAATGGCACCTCTGTCAGACATAACATTGACATGAATGCAAATCTGCCCAGCAGCCATACTGGTTACAGTCGCAGCTGTTCTAAGGATAGTTGTGTCCTCCAGTGATTGCTATATCTGCAGTTTGGCATCACAGCTCAAATGCTTGGGTTGGTGTACATCCTGGGAGGTGAGGGCACTAGGGGAATATGCTGAAGGCTTTGCAGGATAGTGGCATCTCTTTGCCTGGCTCTCATCTCAGCCTGGTGTGTGGGAGTTGGAGTGATGGTCAGAGAAATCATTAAAGGATAGCACTGCTGCAGGTGTGGCTTCGGCTTAATGAGAGAATCAGGGAGATCTTCTGTTTTTTTTAAAAAAAGTTATAGGTGGCTTTTGTACTCAAAATGTGTTCTTTTTTAAAAAATCATGCGAGATTGAGAGGGACTATAACTCCTGTACTGGATTAGATTAAAGGGTGGACAGGCGAGCTTGTGTAGGCTCTGCTCTGATGGGGCTTGGACTGATCCCTTCTTTGCTGCTTCTCCCTTATTCAGGTATCGCTACACCTTGGATGAGCTCCCAGCCATGTTGCACAAATTGAAGGTCAGAGCAGAGTGCTTTGACACGTGGGCCAACAAGGTTCGAATCGCTTTGGAAGTGGAAGATGGACGCAAGAGAAGTAAGTGGCCATATGCCCGGGTTTGTTTAATTCTGAAGCACCAGAGTGTTCAAAGTAATGAGATCTGTCTTTCCCTCCTGGTGGGGAAATTCCTGTGTGTCCTCGCAGCTCAGGTTTTTGCCACCAGATTTGCTCAAGCCCCAGTGACTAGCAAGTGCACATCCTTTGATACTGTTTGGATTTTCCTATGTAAAGAAATATAAGAGGAAAAGGAGTAGATGGAATAAGTTGGTGGTGTAGGGCAGCAGTCAGAAAGGTCCAGATTATGAAGCACTTGAGCCCTTGCCTCAGTTGTGAGGGGCAGATGAATAGTATGTGTGATGGGAGGACTTTTGACTGAGCCTTGAGTCCATGTAGGTTGCTCAGTGTATCACTCGCCCTGATAGAAGGTATGCAAGGAGTGAAGCTGACTGCAGCTGAGCATTTCTAGGCAGATGGCTTGAATGGTGCTTGGCTTATCCCTTATGCTCCCTGATGCTGGAAGCAGTGGAATGGGCAAGGCTGGTGCATCATGCCATCACCCACCCTTCCAAGGGTGTGGCCCTATCCCACTGCTAGCACCTGGCTGGCAGGTGGTTGCAAAGTTGTTGTCTGTTCCATTGGTAAGACCAGAGAGTCAGAGAGCTCAGAATTGGGGGAGTGAGAGGGAGTAACTGGGGATCTGGTACTTGTCATCCCTTTCCTGGAAAGGCCAGAGTCCTGGGATCTTTGGAAGCCTTTCATGGGTGTTCTCCCGGGGGAGCAAGTGCTTTGAAGTATAATGGGGGTGTCTGCATTTGCAGCCTTGGAGGAATTGCGTGCCCTGGAGTCAGAAGCACGTGAGAGGAAGTTCCCTGAGAATGAGCTGCTTCATCGGCTCAAAAGTTGTTTGAGTGAAGCTGAGAAGTGTGTCTCGGAGGCTCTGGGACTAATAAGCAACCAAGAAACTGGGTGAGTGGAGACTGCACATACGTGTTCATTATGTAGAACAGCATGACCAAGTTAGGGTGTCCTAGCCTTTCATCTAGCTTAATCCATCTAGTCAGCTCTTTCAAAGGGCCTCCATCCACCCTTTGCTTTCTAAGCAATCATCTTTTTCAGGGAAGCTTTTCCCTGCTTTAAGTAAATGGCTTTGATCAGGAGGCTGCATATAATCCTTTGCCTGCACCTGGTATTTCCTGCGCAGTAGATGTTCTCAGAACGACTTCCAGGCAGCTGCTAAGTTGATCCCACCATTTCTCCTGCTTGCTTTTTAGGGAGCCGTCAGTCCACATGACACTGGAAGAATTGCGTGCCTTCTTAGAGCAAATGAGCAACTTGCCCTGCGTCATGCACCAGATAAAGGAGGTCCAGGTGGGTAGGTGGTGTGCTGTGTCCTTTGGCCATTGCTCAGGGTGCTGGAAAAGACTGAATTGGTGTCATATTTAAATTAGGAGGATGGGCTGTAGGAGGGATCTGGCTCTGACTTGACACATATCGCCTTCTAGGGAGTGTTGGAGAAGGTGGAGGCCTTCCAAACAGAGGTACAGGAAGCCCTGCAGGATCTCCCAAGCAATTCCCCGGAGCTGCACAAGTTGCTGGCCCAGGGTACACGGCTTGGGGTGGAGGTGCCAGAGATGGAACTGCTGGAGAGGCAGGTGCAACAGGCAGTCTGGCTGGAGGAGGTCAAGCAGACTTTGCGTTCACCCCAGGACAAGGTCACTCTTTCTGTCATGAGGGCACTCATCACCTCTGGCTGTGGTGTAGCCCGTAGCCCTGCTGTGGACAAGGCGATGGCTGAGTTGCAGGAGTTACTCACCATTGCTCAGCGTTGGGAGGAAAAGGCCCAAATGTGCCTGGAAGCCAGGTGAGCTTTGGGGCAAAGGTAGCTGGGTGTTCACAGCCCTTTGTGGGGGGCGGGGTCATTTTAACAGAGCTGATGAGCACGTTGGGGAGAGTGCTGGAATGTACTTGTGAAAGTCCTCTGCCATCACTCACAGGCAGAAGCACCCACCTGCTACACTGGAGGCCATCATTAAAGAGGCAGAGAACATCCCAGTGCATCTGCCCAACATCCTGTCACTCAAGGAGGCGCTCGCCAAGGCACAGGCTTGGATTGCCGATGTGGAGGAGATCCAGGTGTGCTGAAACCCTGAGGACATGGGTAATTTAGCATGGGCTTTTGGTGAGGCTCCAGAATACTCCAGTATGTGTCTGTGCTGCCTCCTCTTCACAGAATGGGGACCATTATCCCTGCCTGGATGACCTGGAGGGGCTTGTGGCTGTGGGTAGGGATTTGCCTGTGCGTCTGGAGGAGCTGCGTCATTTAGAGGTACAAGTGGCAACAGCACATTCCTGGCGGGAAAAGGCCTCCAAGACCTTCCTCAAAAAGAACTCCTGTTATACATTGCTTGAGGTTCGTGGTGCTTTGTGTGTTTATGAGAGGAATGGCGGTGGGGTGTAGCAGTTAAAGAGTGTGGGACTGGGAGTCAGTCATGGAGCCACACACCCCAACCTACCTCATAGGCTTATTGTTGTGGGGATAAGATTGAGAGCAGGAGGAAGGGTATTACGTAAGCCACCTTGAGTTCTTTGTAAGAAAAAAGGCGGACTATAAGTCTAATAATATATTGCAACCTAGGGCAGCCTTCCCTAGACTGGTGCCCTCCAGGCTGACTGGAGGATGTCAGAAGTTGTATTCGAACACATATGAGGAGTGCCAGGTTGTGGAAGACTGGGCTAGGGCTTTACCTCTGAGCCTAATGCTTAATCCCTTCCTCTCTCTCTCTTCCAGGTGCTATGCCCATGTGCCGATGCTGACTCAGACAGTGTCAAACGCACCAAGTGGCAACGGGAGAAGGAGCCTGGCCTTTACAAATCTGACACAGAGAGCCTGGGCCTCTCAGCACAAGACCTCAGGGATCCTGGCTCCGTTGTGAGTGGCCAGTTAGGAAGGGATGTGTGTGATGGGGTGGGGGGGGTGCAGGGCCTATTTTTTCAGTGTTGGGGGCTAGTTGCAGATCAGTGTTGTTTAGCAGGACTGTTTCTCTTGGACTGAAATACTTCTTTGGTTAATTTTTAGCAATGCTTGTATTGCTGAGGGCCATATTCAGTTACAAAGTTTGAGGAAAGCCTGGAGATAAGAGGATTGTGGTACAACTCAATATGAAGACTGATATTGAGGATCTGTGCATTTATACAGAAGAATTTAGAAGAATAGATCACATATCTGGATTTCTGCTAATAACTGGCTTCTGTTCTTTGTAGATGGGTAGAGTGGTTTGGACTCTTGGTGGGTAGAAATGGATTTATTTTAATTGTTAGCTGTGCTAATCACAATTGCTTACCTTGTGCCAGCAGATCCTGGCCTTCAAAGAAGGTGAGCAGAAGGAGAAAGCAGGGATCCTGCGCCTACGCCAGTCAAATGCTCAGAAACCTGTGCCGTCAACACACAGTCCTCCTGGGGGCCAGTACTGTGTGTGTTCCCAGCCTCCGAGCCCTGCCATGCTGCAGTGTGAACTGTGTCAGGACTGGTTCCATGCTACATGTGTGGTTTGGCCCCGCCTGGGCAACCCTCGACCCTCTCCAGCATGGTGGGAGTGGGAAGCAAAGTTCCTCTGTCCACTGTGCCAGCGCTCTCGCCGGCCCCGCCTGGAGACTATACTAGCCCTGCTGGTGGCCCTACAGAAGCTTCCTGTGCGGCTCCCAGAGGGTGAAGCCCTGCAGTGCTTGACAGAGCGAGCCATTACGTGGCAGGACCGTGCTCGCCAGCTCCTCGCCTCCTCAGACATAGTTGCTGCCTTGGAGCACTTGGCAGTGCTGCGGCAGCGGCTCGCTGGGGACTCCGCTAAGGAGGCAGGTGCCCTCAAGGAGAGTAGCTGTAATGAACAGACCAAGGTGAGTGCAGGAGCAGATGGGCATTTTGTGTCAGGGTGTGGAGAGTCCCCATGGAAGGGGAGTGCGTCACCATCTGCATGATTTTGGCGCTCTGTGTATTTGCTTTTTTAATGGCAGCATCCTGTGCTGGGAATAAAATGTACATACTTGATTAATTTGTCATGCTTGCTCCCTTTGGGACTTAGGATCTGTGGTTTCTGCTGCTGTTAATGAAAGGCAAAGGGGGGGTGAGGATACAGAACAATATTTAACTTGCCTTTGACACAAATGCTAAAATGCAGGAGAGCGGAGGCATATAAGACGACAAATCCACAGCCGTTGTTTTCATCGTAGATGTGGTTTTGAATATTATGTCTTCATAAAAGCCAAAGAACTGGTGTTTTGGTACACACATGTGTGCGCACTCCCTCCCCCCTTACCGCTCATCTTCCTGCTTGGCCCTTAGTGCATTTTCCTATTAGGATCTACTCTGCAACATACTTTTGAATTCCCTCTTCCCCTCTGCCAGCAGTGAACAATCCTGCCCTCTGGGCATGTATAAAACATTACCCTAATTCCTCACGTCAGAGTCCATCACCCATTTGTTCCACAAGCCACCACCTATATTGTCCCATTTTTCTTTAATGCTTATGACTTAGAAATTACTTTCTTCACACGTCTTCCCTCCTTTTGCTCAGGTTTCCTTGGAGAATGGAGACTCTGCTACTCCAGAGAAGAACAGCTCCTGTGCCTCAGGTATTGCTCTAGCTAAGTCCTTCCACTGTTCACACCAAGCAGTCTGCCATTGGTAAGAGACTGAAAAGTGCTCGGGGACAACAAAGGATGACTGGATCTTTCTTTAGTCCACATCCCAGCCCCATAGATGCCTGTGGTATGCGCCGGATCCAGCAGTTCTATAGAAATATTAGTTCCTGATCTGTGGTTGAGGTGAGGGATTGGGTTTCTGGCTGTTGCTTCCCCTCAGTCATCTTTGTGCCCCTCTCACAGACCTGGAGATGCTCTGCTCTTACCTGCCGCGGCTGCAGGGCCCCGTCCTGGAGTTGACAGATGCCATCCGTCTGCCCTTGGAAGAGCTGCTAATGGAGGGAGACCTTTTGGAGGTGACACTAGATGAGAGCCAGAGCATTTGGCGCTTGCTTCAGGCTGCTTCTGCCCCCCAGCTGGACAAATTCCGTCAGCTGCTGGATGTGAGTGGCAACTTTTTTTAAATGGGGGGGCCTGTCCTGACCATCACTAGACACCCTGAACTGGTTTGTCCTCCCTCCCTCCCTCCCTGTCTCTGTGTATATGTGTGTTGGGGGGGGGGAGAGAAAGACCTTTATCATCTTTGTGATCTGTGAATGCATCATCTTCCCCTCCATAACAAATGTTGGAGAAAGGTTTTCAGCTATGACATTTTCTCATTTTTATCAGTAGCTTTATTTGGAGCTCAGTGCTGATTAGAACCAGCTCAGCTCTTGAAGGACTCTCTCAAAACTGACAGAACTGAGCATCTAGGTAGAGTTTTAACATTTTATTTGTTAAATTTGTGTCTTGCCTTACTGCAAAATGGTGTTCAAGACAACTAATAGAATAAAAGTAAGTTTTTCATTCTTGATAAGTCTTCTGGTAGTCTTACATCAAAGAACAAATCTACAAATCAAAAAATTGAAAGCAGATTAATAGGATAAGTTTGTGTGCTTTGATGCCCCATGAATGTGACTCAAGAGTTGCATTATCTGTGTGAAAGGGTCTTGGTGAGGGAAGAGTGAGGCATATTTTATAGGTGAAGCTAGGGATGTTGATTCATAAGCTAGTAGCAGAACAAAAGCACTTGACTCATAAATGTATGAATTGCAAGAGGATTCTTTTGGATGTAGCCTTGAATCCTGATGTTTTTGCATCAACTGTGATTACTACAATCTCTGGAACGTTACACACGAACAGAACTGCAGCATCCCAGCTCTATGCTGACAGTTCCTCTAATGGTATTCTGCCTGCATCAGGAAGGGAAAAAAACCCTTAGGTAACAGTTGCAATGTATAGTGTGCACATGCAGTATTTGGGATTTTCATAATTCCTGGGTTTTTTTTTTTTAAATAAAGCCTTGAGGTGGCCAGTAATTGAAGAAAATGGAAAGGTGAACTATGAGAATAGGACTAAAACAAGAATTATTCAGGCCAGAGAAACTTCAGTGAAAGTCAGCTATATTTTTATCTTCAATAAAAGCTTAATATGCAGGATTTGCATCTGTTACAGCAACAAAAGTATTGTTTTTACTGTAATTAAGCCAAATTATTACTTTGTGTATGTAAAGGCATAAACAGGTAAGTGTTGGAAGAACAGAATTTTTCAGTCCCTAATTTCTTGTTGCTTCCTAGCTGGAGCAAGCAGAGCGGCGTGGCACCCGTGGGCGAGGCCGGGACTCAGAGCGACGGCGGAAGCGCAAGTCAGAGCGTGGTGACTACCCACCTTTGCCCAAGGAGGAATTAGAGCCAAAGAAGATCCGGGGGACAGACCCAGCACTGCCCCAGGGTGGGGCTCCCCCTGCCACAGGCACAGATTGCAGCCACAATGGAGTTGGGGTACGTGAGTCTCCGTCCAGGGCCCAGAATGCCGGCGGGGTGGGGGGGTTGTGAGGCATTTGGATGACTAAGAAATCCAGTAAATAGTGAATGGTGTGTAATAGCAATTGTCTGCTTCTCCCCTGGCAGTTGTGACAGCTAGAAGATGCCTGGATTTCCCTTTCCTGGACTGTACTGCACTGCAAGGGACTCTGGCAGCCCCATGTCACCCTGTTGGCTTGACTAGCACTCTGCATGGGGAGTGGGGGGGCACCCAGCCCCTATAGGTGTGGGCTGCAATTTACCCCACCACCACCAGGACTCAGCACTGGCCCTGCACCAGACTATTTTCAGATGATGTAATATTTCATTTTCTTTTTCCTCCTTTTGTATTGTTGATACCTCAGAAGGGGGAGGCATTGCAGGGTCACCAGTATGCAGGGCCCACCTGTTCCCTTTGGCAGAAGCAGCAAGCACCACCCTTCTGCTGTAAGGACTAGAACCTTGCAGAGACCTCTTATGGGTGGTAGCAGAGTGTGCTGGGATTATGCTCAGCTCCTCACTTCAAGGCAGTAAAAGGAGTCAGGCGTCCTCCTGAGGGCAGTGCCCTGCTCCTTGTACCAGCATTCCCTGGATACAACAGGGACAGCGCCTCCTGTTGGACAGAGGGGCAGCTCTCCCCAAACACCCCTACCCTCCTCTGGTACCTGTTGGGTTTTATAGGAATTGGGGTAACCACTTTGTTCTTTAGGGTGGTGGAAAGGGCAAGAAATCTTCTAGTTCCACTCCAACCTTTACTCCACCCCCACCATCCCACTCCCAAGTCTCATAGGCCCCCTGCTGCCTCAGGCTCTGACACTAAAGTCTTTTGTCTTTCTCTTTTTAGTGTTTTTTCTTTTACTTTCTCCAGCAGAGGAGGGTGGGCTGTTGGGGGTAGGGAGGGGTGTGTTATTTTATTGTATTATGATTTTTTTATTATTATTAAACTTTGGAGGTTAATGAACTTACTTGGATTTGGGGGCGAGGGCAATCTGACCAGCCAGGCTGCTGTTAACAGTTGTCATGTAAACTTAGGTATGCACATATCCATTGCCAGCTACTTCACCTGTAACTTCCTACTATGTAGGAAGATTGATGTGGAGTAATGAGAAGTGCTGATTAGCTGCTTTCTCTTCTTGAAATCCTGAGTTCTGCTATCTTGTTTTACAGTGAAAGTTAGTAGTGTGAGATTATTCTTTCAGGTCTCTAATGTTACTGTAGAGAGTCCTAATTGTTTTTTCCTTCCAGTAGTGAAGTGCACATCATTACAGTAAGAGAAGAGCAAAAACTCCAGCAGAACATACATATGTTGCCAGTACAACAAGCAGTGAAGGAATCCTGAGTAGCAGATTGTTAAGGCTATCAAAACAAATGCTATAAGTACTTCAAAAGCAGAAAAGGATCCAGACATGTAGTGAAAGACAGGGAGAAAGAACCTAATGGATTGTGTCAGTCTTCATTCTGGAAAGAGTTGGAGGATTTCTTGGCTGACAAGCATGAAAAGCAGTGCTGAGCAGAGGTGACAAGGCTAAAGATGTAGAACTGATTAAGAAGCTAAAAATTAACATCAGCTGGGCTGCATAACATTCACCAAAATTTCTTTGATATGAAATAATTGATGTCTTAGGCAAAACAAGTAACCAGTCAGTAAAATTGACCTCTCTTATTTGGAGAGAAATGAAAGATGGTCAATATAATGTCCACTTTTCTGTTTTTAAGGAAATTGCAAAGCTCTTTCTCTATTCAATCAAAAATAGTTGAATCTAGCTAGGAAAGAACTTGTAAGGAAGAATCAGCATGGCTCTGTTAAGGGAAAGGCTTCCCTCAGTCTTAGAATTCTGCATCTCACATATGGAACTAGAGATGAGCCAAAGTCACTGACTTTTTGAATGCTTTTTTATAGTGTTTCTCACTAAAATTTTTTAGGAAACTTACTGGTTGGATAAGAAGATAACAGATGGGAAAACTTAATAACTAGGTGCAAAATAGGAAGAAGCAGGAATAAGAATAGTATTAGGGTAGTCACAATAGAATGAATCAAGCAGTAGCTGTTCTTCAGTGTTAGTAACATTTCAGAATTGAACTACAGGCTAGAGTGAATGGTATGCAGCCAGGCTCTGCAGGTGACACCAGTTGGCTCAATCTCAAGCAGCCTGGGAGGTTTCAAGAGTGTCACCCACAGTAGGTGCATACTGCTTCATGCTGTATATATTAAACATGTGTGCTTATGGAATTCACACACATGAGTCCTAGTTCAGAGCACTTGCTGTACATGCGACAGGCCCCAAGTTTGATCTGTGGCATCTCTAGCTTAGGAAATAATCTTGCCCCAGCCCCTGAACTATTTCTAGATGGCATCATGGTGGACTGGCATCAGCCATCTTGACCTAGCTGGGCCAGTGGTCTAACTCAGTAAAAGACAGCTTCCTGGGTCCTGATGAATTGTGACCGCACAAAGCTTTTCTAGAGGGCAGTACTGCTGGCTCTCAGTGGAACTTAAATGTGCCAAATCAGACTACTGAAAGTGATAGGCATCTGGTGTTCAAGAATATGCTGTGTCAAACATTATTGGATTAGAGGGAGTTTGGTCTGATCCCAGCATGGAATTCTTTGGTTTGTTCTCTGTATGTATCTTCTGCCAGTGACTGGAGGGCAGCACCTCAGATGGGCCCCATAGAAACTGGGCTTCTCTCACTCCTTGGTCAGTTACCAGAAAGGAAGATGTGGGCGGGTAGGGAGAGCAAGCAAGCAATAATGGGGTAAGATAATTGTGTTCCCCTCCCTTGTGCCCCAAGGAGTTCGCATCTGTGAAGGCACAGGAGCACATCCTCCCTCTTGTGAACAGAAGCACACTCATTTCAGGCAAACTGATACTGGAGCAGCTTCAACCTCTGCTGTCGGTTTGGTGTTTGCATTGATGCCTGCTGCTGAGTTTCAGCAGGACAAGCAGTTGATACATGCACAGGACTGTAACCTGCTCGCTGAAGCATCACGCCTGCTGACCACATTTGCTTTATTTGGCCACAACCTGGAAAAAACAAGGGAGGCTCTGTCTCATTACTTTCCACTGAAGCAAGGGTTTAGTAAAATGCTTGTAATGTAGCCATGATCTAAGTTAGTTTAAAATACTTTGGTGACATTGCCCTCTGCCCTTCTCAGCAGGGCACCGATTCAACAGGATTGGATCTTACAGCTGTGTTTACTATAATACTAGGATTACTGCATGGAAATGCTCTTCCTCCCAAATTCAGCAGGGCTTTTTTTCATTCTGTTTAGAAAATAAATTGGCATTTTTATTATCTGCAGTCTGCTCCTACAACACAGGGTTAATGCAACCATGGGGTTCATGTTGAAGGAACACCCTTTATTTTTCCTACAATGATGGGTGAGGGAAATGAGCACTGTAGAAAATATCCTCTAAAACCAAAGCCCCTGGAATCAGCACTGGTCATATTTACATCTGTGGAAGGAGCCAGTGAGCCCTGGTCCTGCAAAACCCTGGACACACATCACAACACACCCTGTTAGCAACAGTGTTGTCCCCCGTTGTAGGTGAGGGAAAGAAAAAGTTTTCCCCATCTCTATATGCACCTAGCTCTTACAAAGAGTCCACTGGAATGTCATTCTCTCACATCCAAGAATGTGGGTTGCAGCCTGTCCCCCACCCTTCCCTTCCACTCAGCTCAGCTTCGAGGTGGGGAACGGTGGCCTGTCCATGGCTTGGAGCGGTGGTGATGGCGGCGAATGCTGCTGCTTTGGAAGTGCTGGGAACTATTGCTGGTCCAGTTCAGAAGGTGGTGGGCGGCTCTGTGCCAACTGACCTGCTGTTCAGAGTCCCACAGGTTAGGTCCAGCATGCAGCTGGCGGCCACTCCGCCCACGGCGTGCAACTTGGCCTCTGTTGAGCTGTTGCCTGTAGCTCTCACAAATGCCAAGGGCTGATGGTCCTTCATGAGTGATGGCCCCCTCAAGCAAGGCACGTGGAAGTACGTGCAAACGAAGACGACGCAGTGTGTGGCGGAACCGATTTTCAGTGGCTATGCACTGATAAAGCCCACTGTCAGCAGGTGTCACTGGGCCTAAAAGTACTCCCTGAGGTGTTCGCAGTAGGACACGATCTCGTGGCAGCTGACAAAGGAAAAGAGAGTGAGGTAATTTAACTTCATTTCTCATTTTGGATTCGTACTCTGCAGCAAAAGCTTATACAAAGTGACTGCAGCTTCTGTGAGTGGAATAAAACTTTTGCCCACAAGTAAAAAAAAAAATAATAATACTAGCAACCCTATTAAACGTTTCTCTTTTTTAAAAACTGCCTTATTTTCTTTTTTAAAATTACATGAAAGCAAATTTCTGTAGAAATGATTCCCCCCATTCTTGGTCCACCTGTCTCCAAAGACTGTGTGCGTGCACTGCAAAGTAGTATGTATTGCAACATAAAGAGGCACTTACCACCTTGCGTTTGTCAGAATCATGAGCTTGCATAAGCCACTTGATGGATGCATGGGGAGATCGTGGTTCACACTCCAGAAATACACTTCCCCCTTCTAGCCCATATTGAATCTGCTCATCCAGTTGCTGTTCTACTATGGGTAAAGAAAAAATAAGCCCATTCTATGCTGCTGTATACTTTGTCCCTTCTTTTTTTAACATCCCCAGTATCTGTGAAAAAATGGTTGTGTTGAGGTTCATTTATCCTCTATTTTTTGAAAACTCCAGACAGCCTAAATAACTTAATTGCATCCCTGTTAGATGCCTAAGATGAGAGGATGGAATCCTCGATTGTCAACAAAAATGAGATGCATAACACAGAAGTACTGCCTGTTTCTGTTCTCATGCCTGGCTTCAAAACTTCTGGGACCTGAAACAAACCTGCCATTTTTCACTTTGACAGCTCCAGTATTGTGGGGATAACTAGCAATGAGAGTAGGACAACACAAGGAGAGCAAGTGGTCCTTCACTACAGCCAAATTAACATCTCTTGGTATCTCATCGTACACAGAGAAAGGGACTGTCTGCACAGTGCTAGAGAAAGGCTGCCTTTCCTAATGACACTGCATTTTTATCCTGCCTGTTTTCCTATTACAAGGTAGCCAAGGCAGCTGTAACACTGAGCGGAGTAACGCCATTCTTCAGTGACCAGAGAGAAAAGCAGGGTTTTCCTATTCAGCTCCAGGCAGCATGTCTTTCTCTTAAACTGAGACTTGGCCAGGGTGTGGGAGAAAAACTAGTGGACTAGATGAGGAAACACTGTAGGCTGAAGTTTCTGCATCCTTGTCTGAAATGGTGGGCTGGCCCAATCTCACTAGGAAAATAGACTGCAAATGTTTGCCATTATTGGTATTTGATTTTAATACCGCCCAATAGTCAAGGTTCTCTGGGTGGTTAGCAATAGTTAAAAAACACAAAGAAAAAAACAACATAAGATGATAAAACCACAGCAATTGCAACCAAATCACCACTGAACTATGGTAGCAGTTCAGGATAAAATACAGAATTGAAACTAAAAAAGTTAACTGTTAAAATACTGGGAACATAAAAAGGTTTTCCCCTAGCACCAAAAAAAAAAAAAAAAATACAGAATAGGCACCAGACACACCTCTTTGCAGAGCTCATTCCATAGCTGGGGTGTCACAACTGAAAAGGTTCTTCCCTTGTCAGGCATAATGGCAAATTGTGACACCACAATTTTGAATATGCAACTAATAGAAACATAGAAACAGAGCGTGTCAGAAGGGGCCTCCTGGCCACCTAGTCCAACCTCCGGCACCAGCTGGCTTCGCTCACGACATGCCCACCATGTGCACGTCCAGCCTATCCTTGAACACCCTCACCAATGGGGCCTCAACGACCTAATAATTGATTTGCCCAGGGTAACTGGGTAGTTTAGTTCATAGTGTCCAGATTTGCACATCATGAAATAACCTCCATGCAAGATAGCCACAAGTTGCATGTTCAAAGTGACAGCATCACACAACCCAGGCAACTTGGTGGGTTAATTGGGTTTTGCCCCAATACATGTGACTTGCTCTTCTGAGAGATACAGAAAGGACTGCACTGTAAGCCATCTACTAAACTGGCAAGGCAGTCTACTAGGAAGCCTTTCAGGGAAGCCTGTCTTTATTGCTGTTTCCATTCTATTTGTTATCCAGCTGTTTGTAAATTAAGTTGCTTTTCTTCAGAAGTGTTCCTCAAATATTTTTACAGTGTGACACCCCCAAGTACTATGTAGCTGTAAAATTTAATCTCACTACGTTCTTTTGCAAAAATTAGAAAGCCTTCCAAACTTAAAACTAAATTTACATTCCTATATAGGGGAGCTTTAACAGAATATTAATGTAAGAATGTGAAAGTATTTGCCAAGTTTTCCTTGAGCACAATAAGAGATCAAAAACCATTAAGGCAAAAATTATACTAGTGACATGTACTGACCCTGCCAGGCACCTTTTTGGCAGTGGGTTCCAGGATCTTTGACCGTTGTTCTGAAGAGAGCATTTCAACAGGTTCAGCTTTTCAGGGCTTGGCAGTTGTGCTGCATGACTGCACTTGCTGAAATCCCCAGGATATAAAGGATCTTTCTGCACTGACTAGTTCAGACCCAAACATTGCTGACAATGAGATCTGCTCCCGCAAAATCTGATAAACCACCAGACCCTTAAGGTGATTTGCCTGGAAACACAAAGTCATCACACCCTAAGAAGCACTAGGAATGTATGATAAGCTGTGTTGGATCAGGCCAAGGATCCTGCTCCCATAGTGGCCAACCAGAGGTCTTTGAAAAGCACACAAGTAGGATGTACATGCAAAAGCAGCATCCTGCGCACATCCGCAGGTTATAAGAATGCTGCCTTGAATCCAAAGGCAGCATACAGTCTAGTGGCCACTGAGAGCCTTCTCCAGGAATTTGTCTGCAAAGCAGTTCAGCTTGGTGGCCGTTACTACATCCCATGTTAGCAAATTCCATAGTTTGAGCTCTAAGAAGTAGTACTTCCTCTTACCTGCTCCAAATCTGTTATCCTTCAACTTTATGTGATGACCCAGGACATGAGAACTCGTTGTCCACTTTCTCCCCACCATGCACAATCCATACAACTCTATCATGCCTCCCCATACTTAATGGCTTTCCAAGCTGAACAGTCCAAGATGCAACCTTTCCTTTTAAGATGCTGCTCCAGTCCCTTGATAATTTTGGTTGCATTTTTTCTGTACTTTTCCCAGCATTGTTTTCATGGCCCTATCTCAAAATGAGAAAGACACAGCCTAAATAATTAAGCGGTTGGAACACTCTGTCTACAAGGAAAGCCGAATGCAGGCTTCTCCAGCTTAGGGCCTTCCTACAGTGTTGGACTGACCATCCCAGCCACTGGCTCTGCTGGCTGAAAATGGTGAGGGTGGTAGTTCCAACACATTTGAAGGGCACTAGCCTGGGAAAGGCCCCTAAGACAGATACCGCAACATTAAATTCAGAAGAGACAGAGGATCATAAAGTTATGCATGCTGTGGATTAAGTTTCTTATTACTGGGATTTGGTGTCACCTAATGAAATCAGTGAGTGGAACATTCAGGCAAAGCAGGAGAAAGTACATCTTTAGAATTTGCTCCCTCAGAAACATGGTAATTGCTCCAGGTTTGATGGCTTTTACAGAGGGCTCAGCAGAGTCATAGAGCATAGGTCTATTTATTAATGGCTACCAGCCATGATGACTATAAAAAGCATGCATCTTCAAAGGTTGCATACCAGTTGCTTTGGGAGAAGTCCTTGCTTCACACCCTGTTTGCAGGCTTGCCAGAGGGATTCAATTGGCAACTGCAGAAAACAGGATGTTAGACTTAGTTGGACTTTTGAAGTGATCTGATCCCACAGGCCCTTGTATGTTTGATGGGTACCTCAACTATTTTTGTAGCAACAAGAAAAAAGATCCACCAACTACTCCAATAAGGGCCTACACTCAATTCATGTTGCAAATTCATGGTCAGATTTTAAACTCAGATGCTGAACATATTAATTAAAACCAGTTATGAAAAATTTCTTCCATCATTCGCCATTATCACAAAAAGGACAAAACAAAATCACAAAGTAAGATCCTCTCCTACTATGTTATTGGAGCAAGACAAGCTAGTAGTTTTACAATACAATCCCATGCACTCAAAATATGTGTCCTATTGACATCAATGGGACTCCCAAGTTAAGTGCCTATAGGATCTCATCTAGAATACTTTAGGACCAGTGGTCACAGTCCATTACAAATAGTTGTGCTGCTTTGCTAATTATGTAAATAAGCTACAGAGAAATTTGTCTTCTCTTTCCGTGGGCAAGAACTACTCTTCAGTTCTAGCAGTTCAGGTCAAGTGATTAAGGAATTGGTTGCTGGGAGAACCAAGCTAATGATGTCTAGCTAGTATAAGGACAGCCATTAATGCTGGTGGGTTGCATAACTGCTGAAACACACATAAATGTTGCATGTGCATGTTTCACTATGGAACCACAGTCCTGGCTCTCAACATTACTCTCCCTCTCCTTCTAACCCACAAGTCTCTGCCCGTTCCTTCAAGGGGATATCCTAATTCCCATCAAATCTGGCCTAAAAAACCCTGAAGTTGTTAATTCAATTCAGTAAATTTAGTGCCTTTAGTAAATTTTAGAAGGCAAGGAAATAATCTCTCTTCTATTAAATCAACATTCCATTTACTCTTGGAATACAATCCTACCCTCCCTTTACTAGTTTGGAATAAAAAATTACCCTCAGGAACACAGGGTAACCTGGCCTTCTACCAGGTCGAACACTTTTGTTCTCTTGTGTTGTCTGCTCCAACTGGCAGCAACTCTCCAGAGTCTACAATGGAAACAAATCTGCCACCTGAGAACTTCTTCATCCAGAGATGTTAGGGACTGAAGCTGGGCCTTCTACATGGAAACCTGCAACTGAGCCATAGTCCCTTCCCCTTCTCCCTTTCTTTTCATTCAGCAAGAGGGGCAGCCTTTCAGAGGCTGAGACTGTAGCAGCCAAACCTCATGAAAGTTTTCCTTCAACCTTTTCTGCACTACATCCTTGCAGAAGCCACAACCCTGCTTTTCCTTCAGGAGTGCTGACTAGGCATGTCCCGGTCCATGGAGCTGGGATAAGGCAGTGGGACAAACCAAGCTGGCCTCTGCCTTTTGATCCCCAGCGGAGGGGGACTTTCCATTCCAAGTTGTCCTTCTGAGATTGCCAAGTCATTTCAACACTGATGACAAGGAAATGTGCCATTTGTTAGCAAGCAGACTCTTCTTGGGATGGAGCAAGAGAGACTTACCCTTGGCATTAAAGCCCCGGCACTGCCTTAGGGGGTCACCATGCTTGATATCCTGGCGGCGGCTCCTCCTGGATAGGATGCAAGAGATTGGCTTTACTCCTTTTCTCCATCCTAGGATCTTTCTCCAGCCTTGCTTTGAGCAACTGACTGCATATTTTAAAGGAACACCAACAGCACTGTCCTACCAACCAGACCAATAAGGAAACCTGCACAGATTGACCATTGTCCCGCCTTTCCACAGTTTAGGCCTCCAAGGCAGCTTTTAAACACGTTTGAACAAAGTTGTTTTCAGTTTCTGCAGAGGCATGTTTCCATGGGGCGACCTTCTATCCCAAGGCAAGATAGTGATTTCCAGGGCCACTCAAGCGATACCACTTCTGTAGTAGGAGCCAGGAAGCAAAGAGAAAACTGTCCTTGAAAGCTGACACCCAGCCTCATCTGGGGGTGGAGCAAGTAACAACACCCAGTCCAGGGAGTTTAGATAGTATCTACCACACACTTCATCTCACAGATGCCTCCAGAAGCAGTAAAACAACCCTCAAAGGACAGAACTTTATGGAATGGACAGACAAACCAAAATATCTGCACACACAGTGCAGAGTTGAATTATGCAGTTCACAAACATAGCAGCAGAGGCAACATGCTGTTCAGGTACCAGGTGCAGCATTGCATGATAGAAGGATGTCACACTGTGCTCATGTCTTGTCTGTAGGTTTCCCAGAGGTGGTTGGTTGGACACTGTGCAAACAGGGTGTTCTTAATATAACATGTTTCATTTCTATACCACCTGTAGCCAAAGCTCTCTCAGCAGTATACAACATAATATAAAAACAATAAAATATAATAGAGAAAAGTGGTGAGAATTAAAAATTAAGTTAAAATTTTTAAATAGGTGCTTGATTTGATCCAGCAGGGCTGGTCTTACATTTTAAATGCCCTCCACGTGCCACCCAGCCATGCCAATGGCAGTGCTGGCCTTCTCAGTGGGGCAAAGAGCTAGCCTTCCCTGAAGTGCCCCCCCACCGCACCCGCTGGGCCATACCTTTTGGCTGTGTGGCTGTAGCGAGTGCAACGTTGCCCATCCCAAGCACAGTAGGGGTCGCGGGCCAGGCAGCAGTCAGCACAAGCTTCCCCGTACTCCCGGCATCTGTGCAGGCTCAGCTGGGAAACACCCACGTCAGAGGATATGTACAGCTGTTGCTGCAAAGGGAGTGAGGACGGGGTGACTAAGGGAACCCAACACGCTGCCTTGACTCACCTGGTCTTCCCAGACCCTTTTGCCTCTGGTGAACAGAACCCAGGAAGCCTGCTTTTCAGCCCCATGCAAGGAGTGTGAACTCTCCCTGTCCCATAGCCGGGGGGGGGGGGGGTTGGGCCACAGCACTTGGACAGAAAGGCCTTTTGCAACCCCACTTCTGACAGTGACACAACAGGCTAGCGCTCTACTTTGCACCTTGGCTAGGTGGACATCAGCAGCCAGCTACTTACCCGTTTTGAGGATATCCACAGTGTCTTTACAGGAGCTGGAGTCTGCAAGGCAAAGGGGGGAAGCAAAACTTGAGAAGGGCAGAGATAGACGGGGTTATGGCAGTAATAAAAGGGAGACAAGCTGGAGCCGTCTGTTCACTCACCCGGAACACCTCAACTTCCTCCAGGGTCAGTTCTTCCAAGGCTCCGTGCTCCTTTGGCAGCACTATCACCTTCTGCACTGTGCCCTGGTCTGAAGGAAGGAGAGCCACCGATTAACCAGAGCACCCCCACCACAAACAGTGAAGGGCGTGCTAGTCGAACATCTAAAGGCTACCCTGGTTGCTGGTCATTGGCCAGGCACCAGTAGGAACACTGGTTCCCTCATCAAGTTGCTTACCTGCTCAGAACATTAAGCGAGCCTCCCCTCTCTGAGCTTCCCCTTTGTCCAAGATGAGAGGGCAGCAAAAAGAGGCAAGGACCTCTGAAGATGGCTCCCTACCTATGGAATTCCCCCACACACACACAATATATATGCTCGACAGGTGCATATATTGCTCTCTTGGTGCCAGGCAAAGACTTTTATTCTCCCATTTATAAAATGCTGAGTTGTAATAGTTTGCTCTGTTCTGGCTTTACTGCTTTTCTTCTGTTTGCTCTCCCATGGAAGTTGCTGAGGAACAAGTTACTTACTGCATGTATGCTTATCTGCTTGTGCACTATCTCAGGAGCCATTTGGCTGGATGAAGGTAGCATATAAAATAATCATATATAAGCCTCAGACTGGGGCCCTTGAGATCAAGACCACAGGCATGATACCATTCACTTGTTTATTAAATGTATATCCCACCCTTTTCTTTGCAAAGAACCAAGGCAGCTTACACCCTTTCCCTTGTTTGAGGAACATCTCTGCATGCTCCTACTTAGATGTACTAAGTCTGCTGTGAGGGAGCCTCCATCCAGCTGTAGGACTCTGACACTGCAACTGGCAGGCTGGTGGCAGCCATGATGTGGGACTCCTTGGTTGCACCATTGGCCAAGTGACTGCCCTGGCTTTGCACAACCTGAGCATTGACATCTACAAAAGTACCTGCAGCATTGAGGCCATCTTGTACAGAATTATGACGGCCCTTCCATGAAAGATGATGACTGCCTTTAGGCTGCAGTTTGTATAGGTGGCAAAGTGGGAGGCAGACAGGTATGTCCCTCCTGCCCACCATTTATGGGCACAATGCACAGGGAAGTCTTCTGGTAGAAGTCTTGCTTAGGACAGAGTTGTGCTCTTGCACAGCTTCTGTTCATTTCACCCTAACATCCAAGGGAGTACTGCCTGGTAGGCTGGACCCCACGATTGGAGAACTAAGTTCATAGCCCAAAACTGGAGGACCATGGTTCTCTGGATGCTGTTGGGCAACAATTCCCATCACCTCCAACAATTAGCTCTGTAGCCTGGGGCTGATGGGGACTGGAATCCTGCACCATCTGGAAGGCTGCAGATTCTTCAGCCTTGTTAGAGACTACAAAGTCATGAGCAAAGCCTAATTTTAGTTTGTGCAATGCCTCTTGATTTTAGGCAAAAGAGGGAAATAAATACTAAGATGAGGTGTGTTACTTCTGGAGAAATCTGAAAAGACATTCAGACTTTAAGGATTAGAGCTCTGCACAGCTCTTCACTCATGCTGGCACCTGAACCGTTGCAGCCAAAGTGGGACAGCATCTGTAGAGAAGTTTCATATTCAGGGCATAAAATAAGACTCTTCTTGGAAATGAATAGGGGTGGGGACAGCTGCCCCCAACCTGGCATCCTCCAGATGTTCTGGAGTACAACTCCCAGCATTCTTGATCATTGACAACGTAGGCCTGGGCTGATGGGAGTTGTCTAAAACATCCGGAGGGTACCAAGCAAAGGAAGCCTGAACTGGGGATACCCAAGTATAGAAGTACACATTTACAATGGGGGAAATACTGGGGAAGAAGCATAGACCAGTGGCCAGGCACATACTTTGCAGGTAAAAAGGCCTCAGTTCAATCCCTGACCTCTCTGGAGGGTCTGGAAGAACTCCTGCCTGAAATCCTGGCGTGCTCCTGTGCATCAGCATTGGCACCACTGACCTAGAGGGACCCGACTCCATCAAAGGGCAGCTGCCTATGTTCTTGACATGGTGCTGTGCACACACTTCTGCTTTCCCAGTCTTCCCTCATCAGCATTAAGGAAAGAGATTGACATCTAAGTTGGAATTCAGTCACATTTAACATATCCTTGAGGTACCCATTAGCCTTGGTAGTGACACGCATCTCAAAGCCAGAAAGAGCCAGAGGCAGTTTGGATGAGTTTTCTACCATTCTGACTGATGGAGTTAGAAGCTGGAGGGCCCTGTCCTGCCTCCGCAACCAGAAGCTGTGCACACCAGCACCTGATCACTCAGTAGGGCCCTGCTGGAGCTGAAAATCACATCTCTGAGCGTACCTGTGCCGAGAAAGAGCACCTCATAGCGCCCATCCACAGCATCCACCAAGTCAACAGCCAGTGTGGTGAAGCTGTAGGGTACGTTGGTCCTCACCAGCAGGGGGCGGCGCTGCAGGGGGTAAATGGCGTTGTACATCAGAGGGTGAGCACGCACAAAGGTTACCAGCTCATCAGAAAACTCGCGTGTGGATCGAAGCCCTGGGGTGAACGTTCCTCCTGGGCACTGGAGAAAAAGTGGAGAGTAGGAAGTAGGGTTTAGAATCTGGGAAAAATCTCAGGGCTCCGACCTCTGCTTCTTATCTGCTTTCCCCAGAAGGTAAAGCAGATGTACAAGTCACTGTAAGCCAGGGAAATTAACTTAAGGAAGAATCTCACGGAGCGAAGGAAATGGGACATGAGGGATGAGGAAATTAAATACAGGCATCATAAGGGGAGGGGAACATCACAGCAGTGAGTGATGTAGGCGACTCACAGCTCCTGGGCGAGGGTAGGGCACCCGTCCCATATATGGGCCCCACTGGTAGTTGTGCCCCTCCTTATGGGCAAAGGGCCCGTTGAAGACCGTGCGGATGTCAGCCATGGAGTAAACACAGACTGCAGAGCCACGAAATACTGACCTTGTGGAAGAGACAGAGATGCAGGGAGGGGAGGCAGTTAGGTCTGAGGCCAGCTGCACAGGCTAAGAAGCCTTGCCAACAAATCTAGCCACCCCTTACTTGGAGTGTTTGCTCACCCCAATGTGGAGAACACTCCATAGAGCAGAGGGTGCTTCTCATCCTGAGTCGGCAGCAGGAAAACATCACCTGGGAGAAAAGGGCAAAAAGACCAAGGATCTTGAGGGAAGGCTTGTGTGCCAAGCAAGCCCAAGCTACCTTTTGTCTGGCCCCTGGTAACCCCGTCTCCCAACAGCTTCAGTGCTTGCTTTAAAGGGACATACCAAAATGAGTCATAGTGAATAATGACTGAAATACACTGGTTCCTGCCAAATGGCTCTGAAATGGAATCCTGCACCACCTAGAATAAATTTCTAGAGGGTACTCGTGTTAGCCTAGTGCAGCAAAAAAGAAATTCATGGCACCTTAAAGACTAGCACAAGCTTTCATGAACTACAGCACACTTTATCAGATGCATGGAGTATTATGGAGGACTTTAGGTTTACATTCAGCACATAGGGTCAGGGAAAGAGGCAAGAATTGTCAGCAGTGGGATCAGAAGAATGCAAAAAGTGACAACCACCTGATTAGCAGTGGTTATTCACAGTGCAGTTGTTGCTAGTAACATAAACATCCTGGCTCTAAGTAAACCAATTAACACATGTACTGTGATAAAAATGCATTATCTTCTGGTGATAGAATTAAACCTGTTGATTAACTTGAAACTCAACAGTCTCTTGCTCAGAGTTAAAGGCATTTTGACAAGGGTCTTTTGGAAAGGCCACAACAAACCAAAGTGGGAGGAACCATGGCATTTCCAAAGTTATGCTCTGCCCCAGCTTTTAAATTATTTTAGCTAAAAAAAATTCCAGAGCTTGGGACAGAATTAATTTGCCACCCCTAATCCCTGGGTGGGACTGCAGGTGGCGCAGTGGTTTAAACTGCTGTGCTGCTGTGCTGGTTGATCGAAAGGTTGCCGGTTGCTCCGTCCCAGCTCCTGCCAACCTTGCAGTTCGAAAGCATGCAAATGCAAGTAGATAAAAAGGTACCACTTCGGTGGGCAGGTAACAGCGTTCCGTGCACTTCGGTGTTTAGTCATGCTGACCACGGAGACTGTCTGCGGACAAACGCTGGCTCCCTCCGCTAGGAAACGGAGATGAGCACCGCCCTCTAGAGTCAGGCATGACTGGACTTCACGTCAAGGGGGAATCTTTACCTTTTTTACCTTTTAATCCCCGGGTGTATTTCCACCAGTACAGATCTGAATGCTTATCACTAATCCACAAATGCAGTCAGCATAAATAATTCCTGCACTCCCAAAACAAAATCCCCCTCCAAAACCAGGACTCACGCAGCTCATCGAAGAAAGTCTCCACGCCATCCTCGCCGATCACAGAGCAAACAAGACGAGCTTTAAGAAACGTTGTCCACTTGTTCACCAAGGAGCGCTGTCCTCCATCATCATTCTGAAAAGGGCAAGGTGTTTCACTAGTACAACAGACCCCATACATACAGGCACAGACCCCAAGAACAGAGAGACGCAGCCACCTTTGGACTGCAAGGTGAAGAAGACTTGGGCTTGTACTGGGGGGTGTGGGTATGTCTCTTCCCTAGCAATAGCATTTGCATAGGAAGTAGCAAACATCACATAAATTAAATTGTAGGGTGTGCGGGGGACAGAGAATCACTGGACAGTTTTAGCTCTGGAATTCCAGAGAGGAGCAAAGGAAGCCAAATAAAGTCCCTAGTACTGGAGACCTGACAAGAGCAATGAGAATCTTTAGTTCAATATCAGACTGCATTAAAGTTCTCTACTCCAAATCTTTTTTCCAACTCAGCAATCAACTACGCAAACAGGGGCTTTGTTAGGACAACAGGGAACCAGGAAAGACCTCCTTACTCCCATCTCAGAAATGGCTAAAACTTTGTGGGCTTCCTGAAATATGTGCCACTGGGCCAGGCCTGGATAAATCATTATGCCATAGAGCAGTGATAGGCAGAAGTAGATCTTTGGGTCTTTAGGGCTTCAGTTTCCAGAAGTCTCTGCCTGCATGGCCAATAGTCAGAATACTGGGAACCCAAGTCCAAAACTTTTGGAAATCTCCATTCTGCCTAATCCTTTCAGTCCCTCTCCAACTCTCCGACTGGTGTCAGGCTTGCGCAACATTCCACACTCCCAAGAATTCCCTGCTGCTCAGAAAGTGTTGGTTGCTCTGTTACCACATCACAGGATTGCACAGACCATGCTTTCACTTGTCAGGGAAATGTAAAATATTTATACAGCACAATCCATCAGTCTGTTCTCCTGCAAATGCTGCAAGGAAGGGAAGGGAACTTTGGGCTTCTTGTCCCAAGCCTGATTCATTTCAGAGGGGCTTTTGCAAGAGGTCTTCTCAGAGGGTGTGCACCATGAAAAGCAGAATGGCTATGCAAACATATCATATATGGTATACCTAGGCTACCTACCTGTGCCATATGTACACTACAGTATATAAGTGCCCCACAACAGGTGCAAGACCCATGCATGGTTTACGTGCTTGTACCTCTGTCTGCTTGTACGAATGCAGGCAGAGGGAGGAGCCTACTTTGTGGGACAGATTGAGAGAGACCACACTGGTATAAATGCATGGAATGCCCTTGTTCAGGGTTCCAGTCAGCTGGCCAGCTGGCCACACACCCTGATCAAGGATAATGGATTGCATTCCCCATTCCCCTAACTTTCTGCATTCTGTATGAACATGTTCTGTTAACTTTGGGCTGCTGTGTTACCCCTTAGACTTCTCCATGTAGGTTGTTTGCATTTCTGCAAACCTTGGGGCCCTCCCAAGTATACCAAAATCTTTTCCTGGCTTCTCCGTGATTCTGTTTTTAGCTACAATCCTGTTGGCACTCATGCACTGGTCTTGCAATAAGAGGAAGCAGCACAACTGTAAGGAGAGCTGTTGCTCACAGGCCAGCCATATGCCTCTGGGAGGTTTGCAGGCAAAGCAGCAAACCCCATTCTCTGCCCTGTTTCGACCCAGGACCAGCATCTGAGATGCTGCCTCTGAAAGCGTAGCACTGCGCTTTCTGGCTCTTACATCTGACACCCGATCTGGAGGCTCTTTAGGATCTCCAAGCACAATGACAACTCTGCAGCAAAAGGCCGAAGGAAAAATAAGAGCCATCACCAGCAAAAAACCCTAAAAGACAAAAATACACACAGCCTGGTGCCCCATGCCTCAGGCAAAAGAGCTGACCGTGTGGAGCCCACTATCAGCACCGCTCACCAGGCAAACCCGTCCCACCCGAGAGAGCACAGCAGGCCCCACGGCACCCTCAAGCGCTTTCTCACGGAAAAAGAAGTAGAGTTTGTCGTCGTTGTGGTGGGAACTGTCTGGAATGACGTGAGCCTGGAGGAAAACAGGGTCTGGCAGAGAGGGGGGGGAAACGCAGTTACTCTTGCTTGTCACTAGGCAGCGTTAGCAAACACATCAGCCTGGCAGCTGCCAAACTTTTTGGGCAAGCCTGCCACAACAGCCCAAGCACCAAGTATACAATAGTGTACCTTCCCCGACCTGTTTCGGACTGCATTCCCACCATGCCCCACAATCGGGGTGATGGAAGCTGTTGTTTGAACGACCCAGGGGCACTAGTCTGGGGAAAGCTGCGATGGAGTCCCCCAGCCCCGCGTGCGTGCATGATACAAATGCCCCCCTGCTGACGCTAGTGCTTTGGAGTAGTTTTGCCTCTAGGCGAATGGGCTGGCGAGCAGACAGCCATGCCACACGGGAGAGGGGGGCTGGGCCGAAGCCACTGGCTCCATGCCATACCCAGGTCCCTAACCTAGCAGGCTCTTGTCCAGGGGCAACACACAGTGCCAGCTCCAGGTCCTGGGGAGCCCCTGAGGGGCCCCTCCCTCCAGGAGCCCACCCTCTCACTGCTCTTGCTCCTCCTCCCCCTCCTCATTGTGGCTACCACGTCTGCACTGGCTCGTGGCAGGGACATCTCCTGCTCCTGAGCCTCTTCCTCAACACTTCTGAGGCAGGAGAGCAAGCAGGTTGCAATAGCAAAGAGGAGAAGCATGTCCAGGGGCCTTTTGGCAGTGGACCTTTTGTGCTTGGCAGGTGCCCAACCATGGCGCCAGCCCTGGCTCCACAGTGCCACTTTCCGGACCACATGCAGCACTCATGTCACAGGAGATCACCTATGCTGGAAGCTTAGCAGTTGCCAACAGCTTTCCCATGCTACCCCCTGCTGACTTTAGCTGGTGCTCAAACACATACCATAGAGCCAGCGGGAATCGTGTTGCTCAGTGCGCACAGCTGGGCGAGGCCCCATGGTACGGAAGAGAGCTGCATCAGTGCCCATGAAATCCACGTGCACTCCAGCATACAGTGTGTTATCTAGGCAGGAGAGGGAGAAGGGAATCCATCACAGATACAAGCTCACATTCGCATGTTTGTTTGTTTGTTTATTTATTTATTTGATTTATATCCTGCCTTTTTCCTACAAAGGGCTCAAGGCAGCTTACATCTCCTCCTCCATCTTATCCCCTGTGAGGTGGGTTGGGCTGAGAGTCTGTGACTGGCCCAAAGTCTCACATTGGGCTCCATGGCTGAGCGGGGACTAGAACCCAGATCGTCTGAGTCCCATTCCCATGCTCTTCACCACTACACCACACTGGCTATGTATATGTATAACCAGTACAACTCTGAAGAAAGGGGAGCCATTAATAGGTGAAACATCTGGACTTTTGAGAGCCGAATACAGGGGTGGACAGAAGGTAGACCTCCAAAAGTTTTGGACACCCACATCCTTAAGCCTCTGCCAGCAGGATCAATGGTCAGGAATGCTGGGAGTTGAAGTCCAAAACATCTAGAGATTTACCTTACCCCCATTCTTGCCTTAGACCTTTGTTCCCTGCAGGCTTTGTCTACCCAAGTTGGCCACAGTTCTACAGGACATCAGGCAAGTGTGTTTGGCAGTCCTGCCACTTGTGCTCCTTTTCCCTGGAAACACTAGATGGGATTTGATACATCCAAAGCATGTGCTCGGCAACTAAGCTATGGCTCCTTATATCTGCTGCTCCTGTAGCAACCTCCCCAACTCTGTGTTTATCACCAGTCAGCTCTTTAGTACCAACCAACCCTCCAGCTGATGCAGAATGCCAAGTGCATATGAGACAGAGCGGAGGGAATCAGGCAGAGTAGCCACAAATAACATTGAATGCTGGCATGGCCTCTGACTCCATTAGACAGCATTTGGTCCTATGTGCACTGACAAATGGGTCACACCCACCTACAGTTCAGTTCAATTATGGAAGAGGTCCCATTACTTTATAAGTAATTATAAGCAGCAACAAGTGCACCCACTTGCTCAAGGGTACTTACTGACAAGCACGGCCGTGCTGTGCTGCTGTGGGTCATAAGGGCACTTGCCCTTTCCTGGCTCCAGCGAACGAGGCACCATGCGGAAGAGGTACTCCTTCACAGGGGCAAAAGGGGACAAGAGAGCAAATGAACATGAGGATGGAAGCCTACCTTGAACTCAGGTCATCTAGAACCTCAGTCTACATTCCTTTTCTGACCCTTCCTCCTAGGAGCATAAGAAGTGGCCTTATTCTGAGGCAGCTCCTGGCCGGACTTCACCCCACACGGCCTTATACTGAGCTCCACACTTCCCACACCTACCTCCGTATCGCCAACATCAGTAGCAGGGCAGTTTAGGCTTTTGGACTCGGATTTTTCCCAGCCCTGCCTAGAGATGCCAGAGACCTTCCACATGCAAGCCACACATTCTGCTACTGAGGTACCGCTTCCAGCTGGAAGTGACACAGTTCTTTTGCTTACTTCAGAGCGCCAGCCACGGTTGATGAGGGCACAAACTGGGTGGTAGGCCCCTGTTCCACACGCATACAGGTGAGTGCGGTTCCATGGTTCCATAAGCCGTATGTAGTTGAAACATTCACCCTAGAGGATAGGAAGGAAATAGGCAGGAACTGGAGACTTCCTATGGCCAGCCAGGAGTTAGCACAACTTCTGTGTCTCTCCAGGCCAGCGAAAGAGAACCTCAGGCTCAGGGAGCAAATCTAGCCAACCTGTGGCCAGTCAGGCCCTCCAGGGGACCCCAGATAGCTGTACACCCTTCTTTTGATTGCCAAACATTTGGCAGTCTTCCAGCTTTTGTGCATTCTCTCCCCCGCTCTAAAAGTTGAAATACCCTTCTGATGGCTTAGTTATGGGCAAAACGAGCTTTAAACCAGCATATACTGGTCTTTTGGAACCACCCCTTTTGTCTGTAGCTACATCCACCACTGGAATGCTTCCTCATGGGATGCTCCAAAGTGGAATATGGCCCTGGAAGTGAAAGCAGTTCAATGTCATTGCTCCAGATCACCCCCAGACACGTACAGGAATGGTTAGTTCTGTAAAAGAAACCAAACTCCATTACGCAGGAGCCTCAGAGAGGAACTCTTTGTATGTGAATGTCCCATCCTAAACACAAGAGCTCAAAGTCAAAGCTACATAAAGTCAAGGGACAGCATAAAGGTGACACAGGGAGACATGAAAACCCCAGAGTTGGATGGATCAAGGGGCTGCTCGCAATGGTACCTAGTGCCATTTGAGAAACTACCCCTCCAGTTCACAGGGATTTGGACATTTGAGACTAAAACAAAACAACAGACCCCTGTGGGCTACAGAGTGACTCCCAGAATTAGAAAAGCGCATGACTGCACAGGCAACTACCACTCACCCTCTGTCCTTTTCCAGCCAAACGACACTCGTTCTGGTGGCTTGGTAGTGCAGGCCAATGGATCTGGAGGGAGGGAGAGGTAAGAGGACGGCTTTGAAGTGCTGGTGGTACTTCAAGTTCTGGACAACTCTCAAGGGGCTCCTTTCCCTTGGTGAGCCTACTTTCTCACCACCACTGTCATCTTCTGCTCTTGCTCTCCTCTCCAACTCTTTCTCATCCCTTGCTTGCTTGACAAGCAGAGAGCCAGCTGGCAAGTTAGCAAAGGCATTTACTGCCCTTTCTTCTCAAAGCCACTGCTGTCTTGGCCAGAGTGGGAGGCAGGTGAGCAAGCAGGTTGCTTGGGTAGAGAGGAGGAGCAACTTTCGGGGCTCTTGTCAGTGGGCCCCTGTTGGAATGCGTGGGCCTTTGGCAGCTGCCCAATCATGCCTACACTTAATGCCAGCCCTGCCCTCCTCCACCTTCTTTAGCTTTCTCAAGATTTGCAGTTACTTGGTTTGGACCCTTCTGAAGTCTGGGCTGGAATCAAAGAATCTTGGGTACCCATCTCCTCTGTCACATTTCTCTCTCCCCGCCTGCAATAACTATCCCATAGTCCTTTTTGTTTTATCCTAAGTGCCTGCCCACCAACCAAGCACATGGCTTCCCAGGAACACCTGACTAGCCATAGCTGAGAACGAGACATGATGGAGCTTCTTTCATCCCTGCAAAACTCTTCCCCAGGCTTACAATGAGTGGCTCCTTGTTGATGTTGTGAAGGTCCAAGGCCACCAGGAAGTCTCGTGCCCCAAGATAAAGTCGTTCCTGGTCTTGGTCCACCAAGAGGATTCGATAATCACTTGTGTTGAATGCAAAGCTGAAGGGTCGGGCAGTGCGTGTCTCCAGCAGTTCTGGACAGAAAGAGGACCTACGAGTCAAGACAGCAACCCCACAAGCTCCTGCTTTCAAGGCCAACACATCCCCTGCTAGAGTGGCCAACTACACATTGTCCTGCATGAGACAGCAAAGATTTGTACAAACTTTCACATGCTAATTTACACATATAGATGCACATCTAGGAGGCACTGGTATAATTTCAATAGCAATATAGCACACCTTGCCAGTGACTGGTTGACTTGTGTGCCAAAAGCCCAGGTTTCCCTTAGGGTTTCTTATGTCTAAGCTGGTCTGGATAGCCCTTCAAATAGAACAGGCATAGGCAATGTGGTGCCTGTGGGCACTTATGTAGCCCCAGGTCACTTTACTTGGTGCCCACTTGGTGCCTAACTTTTTCACCTGGGATCAGTTCAAATTGAAACGGGAATTTCCAGCTGCTGCCACCTTAATGCCCCATGAATGTTTGAAGGCATGTTACTTGTTTTTTGTGACTAGCCATGCCTCTCACAACAGCCATAGTATGTTTGGGCCCAGTACAGTTTTGAAGATATCCACATGTGCCCAGAGGCTGCATGCCCCTGAAATAGAGGATGCCTTCCATTAGAAGTCTGTCCTTTGGCAGCCCTTCACAAGTAGGACTATCCTCAGAAAAGCAGGACACGAGACCACCCAAGCTCTGATCTCAGCCAATGACCCTCTGTCTGTCCTTTCCCAAATGAAGGTTCAGACCTCAAGGTCCTAGTCCTGCTTCTTCCTTGCCTCCTTCCCCACTCTTTTGCACTGAAATGGCAGCAACTGGAGGACATTAATCTATGTGATGGCTGGCCTGGCCCAGGCTGAGCTAAGCTGCGCTAGCTCAGTGGGTATTTTGGTCCCATGAAGTGGCTAAGGCAGAGCTGACGTGGGTTGGGGGGGCACTGGCGGTTGGTACAGCAAAGAGCCTAAAGCCTCCAGCAATCCCCCCAGCAGCATTCCACAGGCACAGATCAGAGAGCAGGGTGGCGAGCTTCCCACCTGTGATGACCTTGGGGACTTGGCCAGAGGACGTCAGCCAGTCCCTGTTAGCCCCTGCAGCCAAGTCTGGGCAAAGATTCAGAGCCCAGGGACAGAAATTGGTCTAATCCCTCAGGACAAGTGGGCTGAAGCCTAAAAGATTTCCGGGGAGCTCAAAGAGGGACAGGTGGGGGGCGGTCAGGAGGGAAGTGGATGGATGAGGAATTAAGATCCAATTAAAAAACACACAAACAGTAAATCCAAGAACAGAAGGCCAGAGTTTCTGGCCAGCAGACCTCTTGCCGCTGCTTCAATCCAGCTGACATGCATACCCTGTTCTGAAAGTTGGGGACAGTACCCAGAAAACCTGATGGAATGTTCAAGCATTACCACATGGCAGGTGGGAGCAATCCCACTGCCCTATAAATGGCAGGCAGTCCAATGGCAAGATGCCCAGTGATGGGATGTTGTCATGCATACTACCCAGACCTGACATACAAAGACCATTATATAACATTGTTTATCATCCATGGCGTCAACCTCTTTCTGGAATGTATGCACAACCAACGCAACCCTGGATTGTCAGACATTACGAACAGTGAGAAAATATCAAGTCCCTGAAGGCTGAGCTTCTGCAAAGCATCCTCCCCTCACCCAGTGGCATAGTTGTAAGTTCTCTGCTTGGTTGTGAAGACCTCCAGAGGCACATCCCAAAGGAAAGTCCCAAGAAGCAGGCAGCTGTGTTTACCCATGTCAAAAAACGAGTTCCAGCAGTTTTCATTTCTACCAGGAGCAGGTCTTTTGTAAAGCTACTGGGTCCTAATTTCCAACTCAGGAATAAACCACTCCTAAATACTTTAGATTCCAGCAGAAACACTTTACAAAGTCATGTCCCCACCCCACCCTCAGCTACTTTGAGGACTGCCACTGAGCTCAAAGGAAACAGGACAGTCCGAGGGGTGGGCGTGGCAGGGGAGGTCAGTGACCCTGCGAGGCAAAAGGTTCCAGTGACTCAGCTCTGTACACCTGGTTCCCCGGCAACCCTCCTGCCCCTCCAGTCATCATCAATAGCACACTGTCTGTGATGACACATGCAGGGTTGGGTGGCCGGTGAAGAAGATAAAACTTCCCTGTTTGATTCCTTTGGAAAGAGAAATATCCTGGGTGCCGTATCATCAGTGATCTTCAGAGGTGTCTCAATAGGCCCCAAGATCACTTGCTCTTTTGGAGAAACAATCTGCCCGTGAGATTTACATCGGATAAATCTGGAATTTCCCAGGACCAAACAGGGATGTTTTGTTGCTGAGTAAACAAGGAGATGGTTGTCGAGGAATATAAACTTGTAAGCAAATGGAATGCTCAGAGTCGCACAAAACCCTCACCCTCCTATCTGTGTGCCTCACTCTCCTGTGAAGATGGACAGATGGTGTTCTGGATGTTGTCCCTACCAATACAGGGCAAAGTGAAAACTGTTCCTCACCTGTACAAGTTGGAGGAGGCCAGGAACATTCTAGGCAGATCCATTCTTAGGGAAGACCCACTGAAAACAGTGTGGCTTAAGTCAGTTTTGAGTAACTTAAGTCCCATTAATTTCATTGGGTCTACTCTACATGCAGTGAAGGCTGATGCAATGTATATGCAATGTATTCATATGATGTGCCTTACATTAAATTATTGAATCAGGTGTGTACTGAAAGATTCCCTGAAGTGCACATCCATTCAGCATGCATACCTCATAGACAAAGTATTAAAAACTTCACTGGGCATGAACTACAACAGAGATTGATATCCTCTTTAAAGGCCATGAACTTTAGCAGACTGCAGCTACACAGACAGGAGCTGTGTCCCTGGAATCTAGCACTGGCGGCCACATCCCCTCACAGTAAAATTTGCTCCCTGCAGATCTCTTTGTTACTTCTTCTTTGCCTTTAAAAGCTGCCTGGAGGCATCCCGGGTTTAAATTTCACCTTTGCCACACTGGGTGGCCAGTCTCTCAGTCCTTGTCCCACCATCTGTAATAATACTAGCCAGCCATTCTGAAAGGTTTAAATACTTCCAAAACCCAAAGTGCAACTTTGCAGCAGCAGTGATGATGACTGATTCTAATGATGGTGGGGGATAATGCAGATATGGAGGCATTAGTATCATGCAGGGGCTGGGGAACCCAGGTATTGTTGGCTTAATGCTCCCAGTATTCATGACCACAGGGCAGCCTGGTTGGGGTTGATGGGAGTTATAAGAAATAGAAGCCCAATTACATCTGGAGATAGCTGGATCCTTGGAATAGCATTCTTCAAATGTTTGCAAGTATCTCATTGAAATCCTTACAACAACCCTGTAAGGTAGGTCAGCATTAGTATTTCTCCTATACTGCAGATGAGGAAACAAGCCAGCCCAAGTTATTTTGCTGATTGCGACAAAGGCAAGGTGGAGAAGAAAACAACATCAGTCCATCCTTCCTCTAATCCCATTCTATAGTCAGAAACTGGCCTGGCTAGCAATCAAATTAGCTTACTTCAGCGCTGGGGATAGGATGCCCTCCTCCATACCAACGGGCAGCAAGAGAGCTTGTTGGGGGAGGACCTCTTGACCCATCTAGCTCTGCCCTCCAACATTTTGCCATTCCTCCCCACACCCCAGTGCATGCCAACTAAAGCTTCTCTAGCAAGTCAGTAAGATCCAAACCTGGGATGTCCTGCTAAATGGCTTTTTTCCTTTGCTATTCAACTCTAGATGTCTGTTTTATGTAACAAAATGCTTTGTTCCATGTCCCAGAGGCCTCAGAACAAGCTAGGCTGCACCCTGACTCTGTAAAGTGAAAGACCTCTGGAAGAGCCACCTGGAACATGGCTCACCCAGTGCAGGTATGCACTCCAACCAGCCTAGCCCACGGTGCAATCCACTCTGCAGTGAGCAACAGGTAGCAGGGCACAAGGACCACCTGAAAGACACGCTTCTCCCCGCACTGCTTCCAAGGATTAATGCCCCACCATGCTTAACTTACAATCCCTGCCTGCCTAAAACATAAGCTGGCCAAACTCTGTGCAAGACTCAAGGAATGCTCCTTCCTCATCCCTGCTCCTGAGGTTCCAGTCCTGGCCATATACGCAACATCTCACATGTGGTCCTGCGATGTGTACACAAACCCCAGCAAACACACATGTGAGTGTGTGCATGTGTGTGCACACATGCCACAGTGATGTCCAGGGCTTTGCCTTTTATAGCCAGACTGCTGCTGCCAAAGGAATGAATTGTCCTTTCGCCAAGGATCTCTCTCCCCCCCTCTCTCTCTTGGACACATGGACAAATGCATGTACACACAGGCACACTTTAATTGCTTTCACTGAGGAAAAGGAGGGGAAAGTGGCTGCCATGAGCACAGTGGGGAGGGTGTCTGTAATGAGTGCAATGACATGCACACCCCAGCAATTCAACCATCTCCCTTGTCCCCTCCTCTCCAAGCTCTCTCTCTTCCCATTCCCCACCATGTGCTCTGGAAAGGGGAATCCGTCCAAGTGTGTCCCAACCCCTTCTCTGAATGGCATGCTGGGTATTTTAAGCCCTTCTGGGAAATCCTTTCCCCCTGTGGCTGGCAAGTAACCAGATCCCGGAATCCCCGAGAACAGAGAGTGCAGGGGGAACCCAGCAAGGTCACAGGAGATATACTGGGGGTGGGGGGAAGAGCTGGAAAAGAAGCAGGGGAGGCAGAGGGACCCACAGACACTGGAATGATGTGTCTCTAGGGCTGAAGCACACACACGTCTGTATAGAGGCACTTTCTGCAGTAGGAACACTTCGGGCAACCATCCTGCCTTTTTGTAGTTTCTCCCCGTGCACAGTCGTGACTATTTAGAATACAGCCGCACCACATGCGGCATGCACACTGCCACAAGTGGATGTGTAGGACCGAGATGCACACAAGTTGACTTGGGCCTGTGCGTACTGGTTGCGAGCAGTTATGCATGTTGTCCTGCACATTCAAAGCGTGCTTATAGTGACTGGGCAACAATTATTCATACTGGCACAGTAGACTCCCAACTATCCAGCCTAATGTGGCAGAAGGGCAGGCCGGATAACAAAAAAGCTGGATAGGCCGGAGTTCTATCAATGCTTACTTCCTACCCCACCCATACCATTAAAAACACCCTTTTTATACCAAAACCTGCTCTTATTCATATTTTCGGACCTCTTAGTACAGGCCACTACTTTATAAATGTTTGTTATGTACTGTACGTTTTAAAAATTTATTACAGAAAAAGTAAGTCCAAGGATAAAAATATTGTACACATTTTAAGACAAATTTTATAATGTCTAATTGCAGGAAACATAAAATCATGTACACTGTACAGTATGAATACATACACTTTTAAAATAAAACATTAACGTAAAACGTAGGCTTAATTCTTACAAGAATTATTTAAACTTATTTTACTGTTCATTGATATTTTTTAACTAGGCCAGATGGTACAGAGGCCAGATAGTCGCGAGGTGGATAGTTGAGAGTCTATTGTATTATGTTATATCTTCCTTTTTTTTCTTTTGTGAGGAACAGTCCTCCACTTCATTTTAGTCTCAGAACAACAACCCTGTGAAGTTGGCTAGACTGAGAGGGAGTGTCTGGCCCAAGGTTAGCCAATGAGCTTCATGGCCAAGTGGGGACTAGAAGCCAGAGCTCCAAAGTCCCCAGTCCAACACTTAACCACCACACTACACTGACAATCACTGGGAAAATCTGTTTCCCTGAGCACCAACATCTGAATGGCCTTCATGTGCACGTACATGTGATTATGTCTGTTCTGAGATGGGCTTGGTAGGTGCTAGCCGCAACCTGCATCCATATACATGGGCTTCCACTAGCGTGCAAAAAGGAGAAATTTCTCCAGAGATTTACACACATGCATAGTCAGCTGCCAAAATGAAGCTACATACTTATTTCCTCTATCCAGTTTAGCTTACAAAACCCATTGCAATGTATTGGCATGGGTACCAATGGAGCCAGTTACTTTAAAATAAACAATTAGATGGCCATTTGGAACCAGCTCTGCTGGCCATAACAAATGACCATGCAGCCACCATATTTAGTAATGGTATCTCTCTGACTACTGCATTTGAGGACTTAACGGTTTAGGAAGGATTCTGCCATCCCTCCGTGTTTATGATTCTCTTTAGGGCCATTTGGTTGGTAGACAGCATTTTGAGGAATAAAACAGACTGTTGGTCTGATTCCAACATAGCCATTCTTCCAGTCCAGTTGGTGGTCTTCATATATTATCTTGTGCAGATGAATTGTACATATTTTCTGGAACATCTAACTTTTGGTTTTGGAGCATATTTGCTTGCATTGACATAGCTGAATGGCAACTTAAGTACCTCACCCATACACTGAAAAGACACCCACATTCCCTTCTCCACTTACAGATACAGTGGTACCTTGGCTCACAAACGCCTTGGTTCACGAACAAATTGGGTCACAAACAAAAATTTCATTAAAATTTTGACTTGGGTCGCGAACTCCAAATTGGGTGGCGACCAAGATCGCAGCCATCTCCCCCCGCACCCCCGAGTGGGGAGATGGCCACGATCCAGTTGCTTTTGTGCAGGGAAGGAGTGCCTGATCAGAGGCGTGCTCCTGCAGGAAAGACGAGCGCAATCTTGGCCATCTCCTCCGTGGCTGTGCTGTGCTGCACCCATCTTTCCTGCAGCAGCGCACCCATGATCACGCACATCTTCCCTGCATGAACAGAACTGCGATCGTGGCCATCTCCCCACTCGGGGGGGGGGGACGTGTGTGTGATCACAGGCGTGCTCCTGCAGGAAAGACAGGCGCAATCTCGGCCATCTCCCCACCCCCAGTGCGCTCATGATCACACCCGTCTCTCCCCCCACCCCCCAGTGTGCCAGGATGACGGTGCCTGCAGGGATGACAGGCATGTGCAGGGATGACAGGCGCGATCTTGGTCATGCTGGGGTGGCGGGGAGATGGCCGCGCTTGTGCTCAGGGGGAGGGGGAGAGATGGCTGCAATCTTTGTTGTTGTCACTTTGCTTCACATTTTTCTGATTTAAAAAATGGTTTCAGAATGGATTAACCTTATTTACACTGAAACTTATGGGGGAAATCTGACTTGGCTCATGACCAGTTTGGGTCACAACCAGAGTCCTGGAACGGATTAAGTTCGTGAGCCAAGGTATCACTGTGGATACATATCAGATTTAGATTTCACCTTTCCTCTAAGGAGGTATGGGGGGGCAGTTATCACAGCCAATCCTCACAATGGTCCTGTGAGGTAGAAAGTTGTATCCAAGGTTAGTCCTACTCCTACTAAAAGGAGACCCACTGAAATGAATGTGATTTAAGTGAAACTAAATGTGACTTAAGTGAAACTGATAGTGGATGCAACTCTGTGTTAGGCTGAGAGAAAGGAACTCATCCAACATCACCCAGTAAGGTGATAAGGAAACCTTCCATTCCAAGCCTTAGGCACTAATTGGAAATGTCCTGTAATACATTTGTGAAACCATTGCACGTGTGTGCGCACACACACACACACACACTGTTCAAAGACCTTGCCTGCCACATGAATAAAATCACCACCAGTAAATTTGCTCCTATCTTTCACATTACTGCTTACTGTCCACTGCTTGACCAACACACACATCCATTCTAGGGATAATAACAGTGATCTCAAACACTAGTAGGATGTGTGAATATTTTGCTCTGATGATGCTTCCTCTCCACTTAAAGAAATAATACATTATTAGCTGGGTAGCAATGTTAGGAAATTGGTCTGATTGACAGATATCTCTAATTAGACAATCTGAAAACCGTTTTTAAAATTGTTGATTGCTCTTAATGTAAACACATCACTCTGCAGGTTGCTTTGAAAGGGGTGTTTCTGCTTGGGAAGGGTGCTTGCAGTGGCACTGGTATTTACAACCAAAAAGGCATAGAAGTTTGCAAGGAGATTTAGGGGTGTACAACTAGAATAGCAGAAGCAGACTTTCCTCCTCTCTAAAACAGCCCCTACAGACCTCTGAAAGTGAACCCTGAAAGTGACCCAGGGATCTGTAGGGAGGAAGATGGACAAATGCAGTTTCCATGAGAGGATCCAACCCACAGAGAAAAGGATTTTCTTGCTTCAGAACAAAAGCTTTACTCATACACAAACAGATGCATGTATCATTATCCAACCCAACCATATTGAAACTCATACAACTGAACAACGGAGATTTCTTTCATTGAAGTTTAACCCTAATTATAAGCTGTTTTGCATTTATGTTTATCTTTTATTCTAGTATGCCGCCATGAGACACTGTATCATCGTTGTCTGTCTGACAGTGGTAGATATGAAAGTACAAATAAAAATAGGAAGCTAAGATAACCATGTTAGCTATAAGTAAAATGTCAGAAATCCGTATTAATGTAATATCTTTATTAGGTCAACAAACAAGTGGCCCAAATGTGCAAGCCTTTGAGATCTCTAAGATCTCTTTATCAGGTGAAACAAAACAATTCTAGGGTTCTCAAAAACATGCCTCCATTTTTTAGGCAGGTGATCTTTTGTCTTGACAAATAAAAGTATTCTACTCATGTGGATATTGAAATTTAAGAAAATAGAAGTTTTATACTGATGTGGTTTTTGAAAGAAAAATAAAACACATATCCATCATCCAAACAGTTTTCTGCTGAGCACCACCCTTGAACCAACACTGCACTGTTTCCATGAATCCACATAGAAAGGAGAGACGTGATATTCCTTTGAGAGTCAAGGACCATGCAGCCTCCGCTGGCCCTTTCCCTGGGACTCACCTGAGTGTCTCCCTCTTACCTTTGTAAGTCAGGTAGATACGTGGTGCACTAGCAAGGCTGCTGCTGTGGCCCAGGCAGCAACAGAAGAGCAGCCTCAGTAGGAACAGGGTGGCCCAGGGACCCATGACAGAGGAGGGAATCCTCAGAGGACCTGTGAAGAGATAAAGTATGAGGAGCTGGGCACTTCTGGAGGGATTTGTAGCAGAGGGGTAGGGTATATACACCCTCTTCGGTAGGTACTTTGCAGCAGAAACCTGTTGAAGGAAGAAGGCCTAGAGGGCGCTGTGTTGGAGTAGTAATGGAGATCAAAGCTTGTCCATCTCCCCGGGCACCCAGCCAAGCAGCTGTAACCCGAGTGGCGGCAGTGGCTGATGGGCACTTCAAAGGCTTGGTCTCCCTCTGCCACCTTCTGCTACGCTTCCCCCCCCCACACACACACACCCTTTCTCCCTCCCCCTTTGCTGCAGGCTAGCGATTCTTTGAAGCTGGGGTCCAGAGAATGGGAGTCCTACAATGGGTGATCCTTTCCACAGACACCCTTATAAGCGCAACCATACAGAAATGTGCCTGCTGGGTGAGCCACCCCACAACATGCACACACTCCCTTGCAAATAGCACCCCCTGCTGGGGGTCCAATGCAGACATACAAAGCAGGGAGTCCACTTTCTTCTTGGGACAGCCCCCTTCATTCTGAAGAGGGCATGGAACTGCCATTCTGGACACGGGCTTGGGCTTCTGCTCTGGCCTCCTGGCGCCATCACTCTCAGCACAAGGGGGCAGGAGCAGCAGAAATCCCTCCTCACACTCCAGCAGGGCTATAATCTTCCCCATGCCACAGAACAGGTGCCAGGGGACAATGCCAGCAGCACCAGTGACTCCCCCCAACACAAGCACCAGCACAGCTCGTGACTCAGTGCCAGCAGAGACTGGGCTTTGATCTGCTTGCCAGTCCCATTTCTTCCACCCGCCCGCTTCACTGTCTCTTTGCGCACCCTGTCCGGAGCACAGCCGACATGCTGCAACCTGCCACTTCCATACCTGAACCAGGTGCAAGCTAGGGAAGTGGTGCTTGCTGGGACATGAAGTCCTAATAGCCCTAGGTGCCAAGAGAGTGATTACCTGGACACATACCGCCCCCCTCTCTGCCAATCTTGGACCTGTTCCTTGACACGCTCAGCCACTTTGTACTTGCACACACTCTGTGTAGGCAGACAAATATCACAAGAGTCTTATCACTGCAGGAATTCTGTTCTCCACAGCTGAAGCCAGTCTGACACCTTCCCCACTTTTCTTCACCTTGTCCAGAATTGTGGTTAGGTATTATTCTTAATATTAAACCATTGAACATAACTTTACACAAGACTTTAAGAGTTCAAGCGCTTATACTTCTAGGCAATCATCCACATTCATTATTGCAATAAGTAAATTACACAGTTTATAAAGAGTTGCGCAAGGTATATATTCAAATAGCTAAGATTTCTTCTACCTTTCCAAAACGATCTCTTTGTGGCTGCCCAGAAGTGAATCAACAAAGCAAGCGAACGGAAAACAGCCAGAACTCAGGAGCCTCACTTCAGTTCTTGCTCCACAGCCATTCTTACTTATGGAATTGTCACCTCTTCCTGCCTCTCCCCAGCAGTGGATGCATGCATCATCTGGGACAAAGGCTGTGGACTTAGACACACTTTGCCTGGGAGTAAAGTCCTACTAAAGTGTAGAGTCCTAGCAAGTCATCTCCCCAAGTAAACATGAACAGGATCAGACCGTAAGGGAAGCTGGAGAAGTAGTTTAAAAGCATACCACCTACAGCTTTAGGAGATGAGAGATGTGAGAATGGGCATGCGTTGCCGGTAGCAGAGACAAGGAATAGAGAGGGAGAAAAATGTTGCAGAGACAGTGGGGTATCAGCAGCACTGGGGTTGGCAAGGCAAGAATGGCAGGAGATACTGGAGGTAAGGAACAGAGCCAGAATAATAGGGCAGTGGGGCTGTGAATCATGGGGCTAGGATCAAGCAGGCAAAGAGGTGGGTACTATGGTTTGGAGTGGAGCTATTACAGTCATAACAGGCAGGGATAGAAGTGACTTACCCACACGATAGGTCCCAGTCTCCAGTTCAGTCCTGGTGAGTTAGAGCCAGCGTGTTCTTCTTCCACTTGGCTGTGCCCAGGAAAAAATTCTCAGTGATGTTCCTCCAGAAGGACAAGAGGCGGCTGTGAGGAAGGAGGAGCATTTCTGTGCTCCCCCCGCACCTCTCAACTCCTGGGATCCTGGATTTTAATAACTCTAGGAAGTGGGAAAAGCACAACAGGGAACTCCGTTGAATGTTTCCCACAGGAAGGCTTACAAGTTCCTCTGGCTCCTGGAGCAGATAACCAGAGCCTGCCTCCCGGGAGACGTGCTGGGACGGCTTAACCCCTTCGCCACTCCCGTTGCTCCTCCCAGAATGAGGAAGCCTCTTCAAAGCTTGGCTGCCAGTGATGGCACCCCCACTCCCCTAACAAGGGGGATCCAGTGGATTATGCAGGAGAGGGGAGCAGACTGCGAGATAGTAGTGATGGAGAAAAGTGACCCACCACTTTCTGTGTTGGTGGTGGGGATGGATCAGCTGGATCATGATGGGGTGAGTCCCTATTGCTTTCATGGTGTGTTCATATGCATCTGCCCTAGCCCCAGGTACCTTCCTTTCTGCCTTCAGTCAATTTACAGATCCAGGAGAAAGGGGATCTTTTACCTGAGCTCGAAGAAGGAGAATGGGGAAGGGTTCAGTGTTGCTTTCTGATCCAGGAAGACGTAGAAGGCAACAGGACCCATTCCTTTGGAGCAGTTTGCATCTTGCTGGCTGCACCTTTGGACCCTCCCCAGCCAGGAGGAGGGCAGCACCTGCAGGGGGCCAGCAAAGGGGGAGCGCCTGGCAACAGAGCCTGAGAAGGCGGGATATCAGGTGCTGGTGGAGCCTGGAGCAGATCCGGCTGCTGGAGGAGGAGAGCTAAGAAAGACACCTTGACAGATGGATAGGGGGTTTGACTTAATTTGGCTCCCTTTCAAATCCGGTGCTTTCCATCAATGCTCACTCTGAACTTTCTACTCAGGCAAGTTGTTTTGAAAGAGTAGGGTGCAGCCAGCTTCTCACTTGGGCATCTGTCAGAAGCGGAGTCAGCTCCTTCAGAATGAAATCAAGTCCTGCCCTGCCTTCAAGGTTTGAACTCACTGATGCCATCAGGCCAAGATTTAGGTGCAGACATCCAGGGCCCCACTCAGCACAATGAGCAGGAGGGGCCCCAAACACAGCAGAGCTAACTTAACACATTTTGAAGTATATCAAGTAATAATCATGGCCAGTTAAATCAGAGGTCCACCTGGGGTTGTAATTGGCTGTCCTGATGGCCTGATGTCTCCTTCCTCTGACCCATTCCCTGACCACCACCAATTTGATTGTTTTCTGTCATTTGTGCAGCTCTCCCCCTTTCTAAAAGGTCAAAATACCTCTCTGAAGGTTTTCTTCCTGACAGTAAGAGCTTTAAGTTAGAATATACTGGTACTGTGGTACCTTGGCTCACGAATTTAATCCATTCCGGACTCTGGTCGTGACCTAAATTGGTCGTGCGCCAAGTTAAATTTCCCCAAAAGGTTCAATGTAAATAAGGTTAATTCATTCTGGAACCATTTTTTTAAATCAGAAAAATGTGAAGCAAAGTGACATAGAAAAAAGGTCATGGCCATCTCCCCCTCACCCCAAGCACAAGCATGGTCATCTCCCCACCCCCCCCAGCACAACCGAGATCGTGCCTGTCATCCCTGCATGATGGAGATCACGCCTGTCATCCCTGCACGTGTCCATCATCCCTGCACGCACCTGTCATCCTGGCACACTGGGGGGTTGGGGAACAGACGGGAGCGAACGTGGGCACACTGGGGGAGGGAGAGATGGGCGCGATCTCGGCCATCTCCCCACCCACCCCCAGCTCGATTGCGGCCATCTCCCCATTTGGGGGGGTGGGGAGATGGCCATGATCATGCTGGTTTGGTGGGTGGGGGGAATGGCCGAGATTGCACCTAACTTTCCTGCAGGAATGCACCCGTGATCATGCATGTCGTCCCTGCACAAACGCAACTGCGATCTTGGCCATCTCCTCACTCAGGGGGATGGGGAGATGGCTGTGATCTTGGTCACCACCCAATGCAGAGTTCGCAACCCATGTCAAAATTTTAATGAAATTTTTGTTCACGACCCGATTTGGTCGTGAACCAAGGTGTACGTGAGCTGAGGTACCACTGTATTTTGGCACCTCCCTTTCCTTGAACCTGGCCACTAAAGGAACATTCCACAAAAAATCTTGTTTGAAATTGAAATTGGCCCTTGAGCTCAAAGAGGTCTAATGCCCTAATCTAAAGTCAGCATCCTCTCAGAAGACCATTTGAACTGAGGTAGAGCACATTGCCATTTAAAAAGAAGTCCCCTTGTAAGACCATACAGCCCAAACGCTGAGATGACTGTGCTGCACCACTGCTCAGGAGCCTCAAGGTACCTCTGCAGCCTGCTTCAAAGGCTGCAGAATTTTAAAAAACCTCTAATCTTCATGAATATGAAATATCCCTTTTCTTTAAGGTCCATTGGCTTTCATACTGCTTTTCTGACTTGTGGGCCACACTTCATGCATATCACAGTTAGCCCAAGAGCCCAAACATTGTGGTCTGTAATCTTATGCCAACCAGTGCTGTTGCCTCCAGCACTTCCTCTAGGGAACAGTATTTTACTATTTCCCCTGGGAGTGCTACAGGCTGAGGGAACAACTATCCTTTTAAAAAAGCACCCCAACCATGAAGGCACATATGTTGCAGCAATATACAATGTCAAACATAATCCATTCATTTATTTTATTTTATTTGGACAACTTGTATGCCGCCCCATTTGCATAAGCCTCGGGGCGGCTTCCCATCCATAAATAAATATATTTCATACAGAATACATAAAATACTGGAGACATCCTGGCCACAAATCTAAAATCAATAAATAAAATCAGCAATTAAAATAGCGTTTAAATAAAAAGGTTTTGGCCTGGTGCCAAAAACCAAATAACCACGGTGCCAGGTGGACCTCTCTGGGGAGTGCGTTCCATAAGTTGGGCGCCACTGCAGAGAAAGCCCTCCTCCGAGTACTCACCCTCCTAATATCTTTCATGAAGGGCTCCTAGAGAAGGGCATCTGCCGCCGATCTCAAGGGGCGGGAGGGCACATATGGACGCAGGTGCTCCTTTAGGTAACCAGGTCCCAAGCCGTTAAGGGCTTTGTAGGTGATAACCAGCACCTTGAATTGGGCCCAGACTTCAATGGGGAGCCAGTGAAGCTGACGGAGGACTGGAGTCATGTGAGCACAACGCCCAGTCCCTGTCAACAACCTGGCAGCTCTATTTTGCACCATCTGAAGTATCCGGACCGTCTTCAAGGGCAGCCCCATGTAGAGCGCATTACAGAAGTCTAATCGGGAAGTAACCAATGCGTGTGTCACTGTCGTCAGGCAATTGTTCTCCAGGTAGGGACGCAGCTGATGGATAAGCCGAAACTGGAAGAAAGCGCTCCTCGCCACCGCTGTTACTTGAGCTTCCAACGATAGCTCTGGGTTGAGGAGCACTCCCAAGCTGTGGACCCTGTCCTTAAGAGGGAGTGCTACCATGTTCAGGACAAGGTCAATGTCCCCCACCCCAAAGCCCAAACCGCCTATCAACAGGACCTCCGTCTTATCTGGATTGAGCTTCAGTTTCATTCCATTCCGATACTACCCAACAGCCAATTTTGATTATCTTTATATATATATTGCATTATATTATATTTATAGTAATAATGTGAAAATAAAGTGTACAAAAAACATATGTATGCTATACTCACAGCATCCGTGCATGTGTGATCATGAAGTCTGAGCCATGGAAATTCAAAAAGAGGCTGAGTAGTTCACTGATCTCATATGCAAACCTATGTATGTGTATGCATGTTCAGACTTACCGTATCACATTCCTGTACAATAATACTTCTTACTAACATAAAAGGTCAATGCCTGCAAACAGGAATCTTCCAGAATGCTCTGATGGACCAGTATGAATCAGTGACATGCTATGAGGCAGCTTAATTTGTTGAGGAGGGATTGTCGCTCAGAAATTGAGCAGACACAGAAGGTCCTGGTTTCAGTCACTGGCATTTCCATGCAGGGCTCAGAAAGGCCCTTCAGCTGCCACCCAGAAGATCCATTGCCATGCTGTCCAGTAGGGTGGATAGTACTGAGCTAGAGAGAGCAATGGAGCCAGAGAGAGCAATCAGTATAATGCCACTTCCTATGTTCTTCATAGGATCATCTCCCCAGGAAAACTCAGTACAAGCTGACCTCTAGAAAACCTTTGTTCATAGGCACAGGAAACCAACTCCCTTTTTGGATTAACTTTAACAAAACAACAGCAGCAGCACACATGAAAATACCATCCATGACTGAATATATTTATACATTTTAGATTTGGGGTGATTTCTTGTTCTTATTCTCCTCTCCCCTCTGTTTGATTTTTCTGTGTGAGCAAGCTTGTATTAGCACATATCCTACCATGCTTGGAGAAATTAGGAAGTTTGGGGAAAGCACAGAATGACGGGGAACTTTCATGTCTAATGTTTTGGTTAACCCCCACTCCCCAACACACACCAGCCATACACAGTGGGAAAAGTTCTGTCTCCTCCACATGCCAGTGGGTTCCCCTCCCCCACTTCATGCCCAAATTTCCCAGACTTGTGCAAATGCCTCTTTTCATCCTACAGTCTTATTGTTAGGAACTGTTGCCCAAGCATGAGCGATTTCTGCCTCTCTCTCCTCCGCATCCTGTGAACATGCCAAACACAGCAGGAATGGTTCCCACGGCTCCAGGTCCCTGCAACATCAAGGAAGGGGACTGGAGGGGCATTACCCAAAGGGCAGGGGGGAGGATGTGCTGATAGAGATGAGAGAGCCCTGAGACTGATTAAGGGAGGGGGCTGTGATTATTCCCACTGCCAGCAGGTGCTGGTGGAAGGCGTTCCATGGGGATCAAGGCGCCTAGCAACACTCTCTGGAGCGCAAAGAGGGTAGAAGGAGATGGGTCCTGAAAAGCCAGCCAAGGTCTGGGGGAACCCACATTCTCTAGAGGAATAGGTCCCTGGTCACATTCTTTGGACCAGGAAATCTCTCCTACTCAAATACCAGAAAGAAAATATTAGCAGTTTTCAAATACCAGCTGAATCAAATACCAGAAAGAAAATATTAGCAGTTTTCATTCCTTACCTTCATATTAGCTTTGGTATACTAGTAAAGATGGCTTTGAAGGATGATCAAAATTGTCACTGGCAAAGTTAGAAGACTTCCAAACTTTGTCTCCACTGAGGCTAACCCATATCTATACTTTATGTTTTCTCAGTATCTCCAGACCAAAAAGTCCCTGGTAAGATTTTCTAGAGACTGCCTCCCCCCCCCCCCCCCCCCCACACTCTTTTGTCTGTAAAGTCTCTCTGAATCACCTCAAGACATCTACTGTTCTGTGCATCTGGCAGGGCTAGAGCTGGGGCCAGGTTCAATTCTTATTACATCACAGTGATATTCCAACTTTTTCCCCTTGCAGAGAACCCATGGTGGCTTACATGGTTCTTTTAGGTTCTCTTCCTCTCCATTTTGTCCTCACAACAACAATCCTGTGAGGTAGGTTAGGCTAAGAAGCAGTGACTGGCTCAAAGCCACCCAGTGACCTTCATGGTCAAGTGGGGATTAGAACCTGAATTTCTTGAGTCCTAGTCGAGCAGTCTTGGGTGCCACAGCTTCCCATTTCAAAAAGGTGGCTAAGCAAGCCTGATGCATGGAGTCATGATTATCCCCTCTTCCTATACCAGCTTGGTATGTTTGGGCTTCCTGAATAAAGTAGAGAGCAAAAGATTGTGTTCGTGACACTAGAAAGTGTCTGTGAGCATTCTTGAAAGAACAGGGAGAGATGCTGGAAGTAGATATGAGGTGGAGGAGGGAACTTAAAATTACATGGCAATTCACAAGGGAGAGAAAGTAAATCTCAGAGGGTAGGATTCTAGCCCTGGGGGTTCTAACTGTGGAATGCCAGGTATTCCTTCCCTCTCTCCTCCATGTCTGTGGGATTTGTCTGCTTTTTCATCTTCTCTGCTCTAAACTTACATAGAGGAGGTTGGAAACTCTCCTCTTCTCTGGCTTCCTTCATCCAACGATACTAAGCAGGGGTGGTGGAGCAGCATGTCTAGAAGGATGTTGAATCTGACTTGCAAATGGTTCCCAACTGATTTTGTGACCAAGGAAATAAGCCTTCCTTTCCCCCAGTTTTTTTTCTTCCAACCAGTTATAGCTGATTCTGAACCTCTGTGAGGCTTTTTCCAGGAAGGCGATATAAAAGGGGATGCCTTCTGGGATAGGATTCTCTGAATAAGAAAAAGCAGGGCTGATATTCCTGTGCTAGGCCGTAAATTGGCTGGGTACAGACTGAAACTCCACTACATCTTCAAGAGGATTCTTTGTGTACTTATTCATAACTTTAATTATAGGATTATAGTCCACATGTTTAAATCATATATACTTCTCAGTTGCCGACATGCATGCTAAGCAAATCCTGGGCTTGAGAGGAGGAACAAGAGACCCATGCCAGAGAATGACTGAGGCACTGTTTGCAAAATCTTCAGCAAACTGGATGGACAACACTTTCCAGACTTTCTGCCATGGTTTTCTTATAATTTGTCCCTTCCTTGGTATGATCCCTTATATACTCTGAACTGCCTCTGTCTCTTGTGTAGCATAATTTTAATGGGCTCATTTATTAAAAGAATCACCAGTCAAGACATCCATAGTAGTTCTCAACTGGGTGATGGACTCCTGCTCCCAGGACAGTCCTCAGGCTGGTGGCATCATCCAGGAAGACACTCTATTCTGCTCAGGTAGTCCATCCAGGCTGAACCTTGGATGACTACTGTTGGAGGCAGGGGTGACTGCCCTTCCTCTAGCACTTACATGTGGAGGTCCATGGTGCCTGCAGAGGTGAGAGGAGGGCCACTTGCAGCATGGAAAGTGATACAGGATCCCACAGCTGAAGCTGAAACCACATCCTCAATAGCCATGAGCGCACAAAAATAAGAAGAAGAATCTGGGATAGCTTTATATATAGTGAGGCTCCCCACATGGAGTTGCCATCTTACTCCCTGCTTCATTCAACTCAACTCTGCTCCCACTAACAATGACATAATCAGGAGAAGTGCCCAGTTACTTGGTCCACAGGCAGCTCTTCCATGGACCAGGGATAGTAAGTGCTTAGTTTGTTTGGATGTTTCTTCCATCCAGTCCACATAGGAAACAATGCTGGAGGACAGAACAACTGTCTGGGATCCCGGAAAGGGCTCACTCATCAAGCCGACCTGGCTCCAAGTTGTGTTTTTGGCTTCCAAATGGCAGAGCAAGGCTGCACCCTCTCCTACCTGGGAGAGGAAGAAAATATTTAAGTAATGCTACAGCTTTGGCCTACTGCAACATTGCATAGGGTGATTAATGGGAGGTGATTTAGAGAGGTACTCACAGCTGCAGCAGGTAGGTAGCTAGAGCTATTCCTTATGATGCAGTACATGGTTGAACTGATGCCAGGATGCTCTTTGATACAGTCTGAGGGTACTAGCACCTTGACTTCATATGCACTGAGGTTGGCCTGAACGTCACCTGTTAAAAGATGGGTAAGCCAGCAAACTGTTCCTGTCAAACTTGAACTGGAAGCCCCCCTCACTTCCCACTTCTGGGGAACAACCGCTACCAACTAAATATTGCTACATCACCCTGGACAAATCCCATCTGCCAGAATCCTGCCTCCCGTTCATGTATGCTTTAATTTGGTGCCTGTACCCATCACACTACACTATTTTATCCTAGAATGATTTGAATGAGGAATCATGCCAATTCCTTGCTTCCATCATCGCAATGACTAACCTAGAAGAGCATTTCATGTGTTTCTAAAATCCACTCTTTCCCCTGCCTAGCCTCCATTTCAGCATATTTGCACTGACATAAGGCAAAACTACATGTTAAATAGACAGTATTGCTGCCAATCCACAATTCATCCAGGTAACATTTAGTGTAGAAAGCCATGGGAGGTGACATTATTGATTTCAGCATTTTCATGACCTGCTTTATCGGTTAGTGTTTGCATGGAGGGCTGGTGAAATGTGTGTGACAATGGAATGCCACATGTCATTTAACTAAACATTGCCAGGGAGACCCAAAGGAGAGGTGTGTTGATGGGAGTGGTGTGTCTGCTGTGACAGATTTATGGAAATTAAGGCTATCAAAGGCTACTAGTAATTATGACTATATATTGCTTCTTACATCAGAAGAGGGATGTCTCTATATGCTAATACTGGAGAGCAAGAACAGGTATAGCAACCCATATTCTACTTGTGGGTTTCCCACAGACAGCTGGTTGGCTATTGTGTAATGGAATACTGGACTGGATTAGACTGATTCAACATGGTTCTTCTTATGTTCTTAGATGGAGTGGCCCATATCCAGAGAACCTTGGGAGTTGTAGTTCTGTAAGGCTTATTTTCAGGTGATGTCTTATTAATTCTTATGAAAGCCATAAGATTCTTGCCCTGAGAGTCCTCCACAATTCCTTTTCCGTACTTGACAAAATAGCACTTTCTTTTTGCACTTATCATGTCTGGGGGTCAAAATATTATTCCCATTAAATCTACCATTAAATCAAGTGTTAATTGAAGACTTACGAGACAGGAGTGGCAACACATGAGTGCATTAAGTACATCCGTTACAACTCATGACATATTGAATTATGAAATACGTCTGTTGGTTATCCAGTGCACACATTATTCGTGCATTGTGTCTGTACTCCAATTGGTCATTCAGCAATAAGTCTCAAGTTCATCTGTTTACCTAGGCATTTACCTCTCGTCCAAAGGCACCCGCTTGGGTATTTACAAATACTTAATTATAATTTATATTATCATTTATTTTAAGTATTCATGTCAATAATATTATTTATATTTAATTATATATTAGTATTATTTTATAATTCAATACATCCATTGTGTGTTGCAACGGACGTACTAAATGCATCTGTCTGGCTGACAGTCTTAACTGGAGCTTATTTTTGGGGTAGGGCTTACATTTCGAGCAACCTGAAAAATCATGCTAGGGCTTATTTTCTTATTTTTGGGGAAATAGAGTAGTAGCAATGATGAGAGAGTGATGGACAGGAACAATAGTAGTTCAAGTCAATGGAGATAAGAAGACAGACTCTCTGGGAAAGAGAGACACACTCAGGGTATCTTGGTTAAGGGTATTCCTTGTCATGCCACTGCCACACAAAGACACAGTTCCGCAGCATACCAGATTGCAGCATTTGTAGACCCATCACTCTGCAGCTATCCCAGGACTCCTTTGGGGAGAAGGTCATAGCAGTCACATGTTGGTCAAAGGTGATGGGTTTCTGGAGGAGCAGCAAAGCCATGTTGTAGCCTCTGGAGAGAGTGTACTGTGAGATTTTCTTGTAAGGGAAAATCCGAGCCACACGGACAGTCTGAACATGGCCCTTGGGATGCTTCAGTCCCACAAAGACAGTTGTGCTTTCTGGATCCCTGCAAATATGAATTGTGGGGAGCTGGGATGATTTTGTTCCGAGTTAGAAGAAAAGCAAAACAGATCCAAATAGGCCCCAGCTTTGCGGGTGGCGGGGAGGATGAGCAAAAGACTCAGAGAATGTCATAATTGTTATCCAAGGGGACAACTCCTTCAGTTTCTCTAATTATTTGTTCTATGGCAAACCTGTGGCTGGACAGTGTTAAAATTGTACAGGGGGAAGGACTCCTCTTAATCTGGGCCTTTTTCTTGCTTGTTTTGAGCCGTATAGATCTTTCATCAGTGTTCCTGAGCATGGACTGGCCCAGACAACTTGTCATTATCCCTAAATTCCTGTCTGTGAATTTGGAATGTATCCTTCAACATGTATTTAGTAATGCAGGAATGAGGAACTACTTTCAGCTTGATGGCCAAATTACATCTGGAGAAGTTCTCAGGGACAAAATTCAAACAGTGGGCAAGGCTAAAGGCAAAATAGGCAGGACCAAAATACCAGTCTGCTCTAGGTTAGTAACTAAAGTTACTTGATGTCAGTAACTAAACCTTGGGAAAGGCAGTTCAATCCTTCAGAAAGGGCAAAAAGCTGCACAGAAGCCAGGAAGCCACCAAATTATCAGTGGCCAGGAGAAAGTGGTGTGGCCATGTGGGCGCCCTGGAGGTTCCCCAAGTCTTCTATAAAGAGATTTGTTCTCATTGCTGGCCATTTGGCAGAAGGGAAAGAATGTATTGTTTAATAAACTGGAATTCTTAAGGGCACTAGCTCTGATTTCCTACCAGAACAAAAGGCCCTAGATAAGAAAATACAAATGCTACTGTTGCCATCCTGGGTTAAATCATCTAACTTAGCAGTTACAGTGATTAAGAGATACTGAGTCCCCCAGACATCCCCCCCCCCACCAGCCCCCATGGCACTGACTGAACTGGCCAGGACTTACGCCTCTCTAACACACTGCGCTGTAGTCAACACCCAATACTGGTTCAGGATTGAGCCCTCGCAGTTCTGATTCTCACATGTGGTAATGAGCACTTGCCAGGGCAAGGACAATTGTGCTGAGATCCATGCAAGTAGGGCTGGGGAGGGGAAAGAGGTCAGTCAGTGCATAGTGGGAAAGGTGTGAACCAAGAGGGAGCCCCATTTGTCTATTTGTACAAAGACAGATGTACAATCTCACACATGTAAGAATGGTCTGGAAGAGAGAATGCCAGACAGAATGCAGTGATCTGGAAGAAGGGGATCATGGTTCTGCTTCTCAATGGGAGAACTACTAAGCTGTCACTCACTCTTTGGTTCCTGCAGCAGTGTAAGGTTCTTTGCAGGGCCTGGCCATTCCCAAGGGACTGTGAGGTTGTAACGATGCCCTGTACCCTTTGTGCTTCTCTCCAGCCAAGGCAAGTAGTGGGACAGGCTGCTGAAGACATAGGGATGGGAGCAGGCTTCATCAAAACTGCTTAACACCCCCACCTGTAGCCAAGCCCCACTCTGGGGGTCAGGGCAGATCAATGGAGAGCCCACATCACCCTGGATAGGAATAAGAAGAAAGACAGAAAGATGGGGAGAGGGGAGAGAAAGAAAAGTAGGTATGGCGGAAACCAACTCTTTCAACAGCAGCCATTGGGCCTATTTTCTGTGGACTCATCTTGTGCCTGATGGAATATGGTAGGCTTTTAGAGGGTGTACTAGTGGCATAGTGTGCATGCATGTATAATATTCTGTGGCTGTTGTACAACTGCTTGAAATATGAATATCAGACAGAACATTATGTACTTGGACCCCTCCATCTTCACCACAGGAAGGGGAGAGGAGAAATGAAGGGGAAATTTACTTTTTAAATCTGTATCCAGCTGATATCAGCAGTGAGTCAAGCAGAGATAAACATGAGTCAAAATTATGTCCCACTCTAAAACCCCTTCTCACCTTGAAGACTCCTTCCTGGCCCATCTGATCCTTGATGCAGAAGATGCCATCAGATGGATATCCTCCAAACTGGTTGCAGCTGCTGATACTTATGCTGCCTAAGGGATGTCTCAGTAGAACAGAAGAGCCTCCTGGAGCAGCAAGTGAACATCAAAAATTCACACATACTGGCCCTCACACAAAGGGGCACAAATCCACTCCTTATGACTGAGATGGGCAACTTGTGGCTCTCCAGATGTTCTGACCTAGAACTCACAGTAGCCCTAGCCAGTACTTCCAATGAGGAGAAATTCTGTTGTAGGAGCACTGCTCACTGCTGTCATCAGGGGGTGTGCTGCAGGGGCACAAGAGGTGGTGTCAAGAGCCTGACAAAGCACTAAAAATAAGTAAATAGGCAGGTGAAGGCATGAGGGTCAAAGAGGAAGTGATCAAAAGGAAAGAGGTGACCAAGAAGAAGAGAAGGAATACCAGGATAGTATCCATGAGAAGGACTCTGCAGAACCAAATAATCTGAATTTAATTTGCAATAAGATGAATATTGGGCTGCGGGTAAGATGTATCATGACAGGATGGTGTAAATTGGTGTTCTGCAACAGAAGGGGGTTGGACCCAATGGCCTTCATGGCCCCTTCCGACTACTATTCTATGATTCCATCTATCTATGATATTGCATCATATATCTCTTCAGAGCTGAGTATTGCTGACGATCCAAAAAAGTTAAGTAGCTCCCTCTCAATTGAGTAAAGCACAGAAGGAAAACTAAGGCCCCGCCAGAGATGGGCTGAAAACTTTTATTCTCAAAGTCTCCATTCAGGAATCCTAATCACTGTCTCATGCTACATTGTTCCACAGAACTAAAGGTACTAGAAGAACCAACAAAGTCATTTTAATTCATCCCCTGCTCTAAAGACAACCTCTCTCTGCACTTAACTTGTGCAGTCCAGTTCAGTGTGCCAAAAGGCGAAAGCAAGTACACATCTTGAAGAGGAAGTGAATGCAAGCAGGTATCTGGTACTACTCACCCTTCTGCGCAGTCCAGCTTGGTAGCCAACAATTTCTGAAATCATTGATCATATCTGCCTTGTCAGAAAGACAAACCGGTGCAACATGGGGGCCAAATTCCAGTGGTTTCTCAAGCTGCAAAAGCCCCAGGTTGTGAAGGTCCTGGTGCTCAAGTGAATTTGGGTGTGTCAGAGCTTGGCGGATCTTCATAGAGTACATTGCCTTGGAAACATCTACCAGCCCAGCCTGCACAAGTGCCAAAGCCTTTGAATTTTTTCTGAAGTTGGAAGACATTAAGATTAAGTAAGTTAGCAGGATGTTAGCACCTTTCTTAGAAGGAGTAATGGATCTCACATTACATTTAAATCAGCATAAACTAATGTTTCAAATATATTGGATACCACAACATTTCTTCAATAGGGTTTTATCTAAATTGGCCAACTGCTGGACATGTAATAAAGCTAAGGTTTCTCTACTCACATTTTGGCAATGCCCAAAAGCTACTTCTTTTTGGGAGGAGGTAATAATTTGGATAAACTTTGTGATGGAAAGACCTTTAATATTTAGGAATACACACTTAGCTATATATCTGTCTCTTGGAACTTAATGTAAGGTTAACATAATCTTACATTAAGTTCCTGCCCTTTTGACAGTTCAAAAACTACTATTACAATATTGGAGGGATGAACAGCCCCCTTTAATAACACAATGGTTATCAAAAACTTGATTCTTTAGATATCAAAGACTCTGAAGACTTGATGACGCTTTTGATTTTTGAACATCAAGGCTTAATTTTAGGCTTAATCTATGAATGGATAAATATACAGTTAGCTGAGCCTCTTTTGTCAAAGTCTTTATATAACTATACTTAAGAGCTGTAGTGCATTTTGCTATAAATAAAATATTTACATGTACATAGTAGGGAAAATAAAAGGCAGAAGAAGAAAAGGAAGACCAAATAGGAGATGGACTGACTCAATAAAGAAAGCCACAGCCTTGACTTTAGAACAGCTAAGCAGGGATGTCATGGATATGACATTTTGAAGGGCTTTCATTCATAGGGTCACCATTAGTTGGAGATGACTTGATGACTTATACAACATATAGTATATATGTATACATTGTAATAAATTCACTTAAATTTAATGTAAGAAAATGGTAACATTCTATTTTTATTTGTTTTTTATTTTTGTTTTGATTTTTACAAATCACAATCAAGATTTAATTTAAAAAGTAGGTAAGCAGGATAATAACGTGTTGCATTGCTGCAGCAATCACACCAAATATTGTAGAAACTGGCTTCAGCACACTATTCAAGACACTTTTGTCTGGCCCTCTGTGTCCAAAAAGGTCCCTAAAAGCAGCTTACATCAAGTGCAATCAAATAATATGTGATTTTTCACCACCATAATACCTGTCATCAAAAATATTATTGCACAGATTCCTTAAATATTTAGTGCCCCTTCCTTCTGGAAATGCAAAATTCCTTTAAGTTCTCACTACCTGAGGGAGCATGAAACACAAATTACACAGAACCCCCTTCCTAGTGCTGAAACACAAAGCATCTATGAGGCTGCTTCCTTAAAACCTCGATAGCTGAAACACACACACACAAAGCCTAGATTAAAATTGGAAGTCCCTGTACATACACACATATGCATATATAAAATCTATCACCTCCAAAACAGCAGGATGCATTCTTTTGGCTACTGGAAAACACTTGATACTGCCTTCTAGCATCCCTTTGCTCAGCCAGGGCCAAACGAAGTATGATGCTAAATGCATTGCTTGCAGCTTCATTTAATGATGATGATTACTATGATACAGTAGTTATAGGGGGCACAATAATTATTGGGCTAGCGGCAGTACAATGACCATTGCTTTTGAGTTTAAATAAAGGCAAGAAACAGAGCCAGAAAACATATGCTTAAAGTCAAGCCCAGTCTGAGGTTATAGTAATATATTATTGCTCACATATTGGCTGCAAGGGCTGCAGGGCCTTCTCACTCCATTTGGCAGAGAGTGATGAAGACTTCCAAAATAAAGGAGACTGTATTTCTTAAGGAGCATGTAAACACAATAGTATGCCCCAGCATTACATCTGAGTAGTGCAGACAGACAAAAATTGAATTTAAATCACACCACAACCCATTGTGTATTGTTAGCCATGATGGGTTGTTGTGTGGTGCACACATGGACTATTATCTACACAGTGGCTTGAGGGCAACAAGCACCCTAACAACTCATGAGTTGTTGTACCTGCAATGCATCGTTGTGCCATTTGAATGTGTGCAATCATCCCCTTTATGAATACTGGAAACTTGTTACTGAGCCAGTTGGGAGGAGCAGCTAAAAACACATCCTAATCTTGTTAAGTTTGCCTGGGCACCTGCCAGTGCCAGCCAGTCCACAAATAGCAATGCACCTCTTGAAGGGTAGCTGGCATTCTCCACACCATCATAAACCATTTTTGGCTTGCCATGGGCTTTTGTTCCTTAGGATGACCAAAGGGAAGGGGAGATAGCAAAAAAATGCACAGTAAGCCTATGTCAAGGGCATAATGGGTTACTTGGCTAACAACCAACCCACCATGGCTTATTGACAGGGTAGGTTAGCATAACATTTGAATGCTCTAAAGTCATCCAGTCGACTTTGTGGCCAAGTGAGAACTAGAAAAAAAAGCCAATAAATGTGTAAAGTGAAAAACTGGATGATGCAGCAACAAGGCAAGTATGCTACCATTTCTCCTAAGGTCTGAAATATGGTTTAAGGCTTATGAGACTTTGCCCCACAATTATGAGGGCTAGAAACACAGTTGAACATATTCATAGATGTGTTGTGATTCTAGACTAATTGGTTCTGTACACTGACTAGGCCCATTTTGTATTATTCCAGGTCCTCAAAAGCCCTGGTGTGCCTGCAGTTTTTTCTGCATAATCCTTTGAATTCTTTGCATATTGAGAAACAAAGACAGGAAGCAAGAAAGTAAGACACAGCAAACAAGCCAAGTAGGGCTCTGAAAGCATCGTACTTTGAAGCAAGAAAGCAGATTCCAGACATCATCATCAAAGGACCAAGTGTTATTTCAAGGCATTAAGACAATACAAACCGTCACAAACTGGGTGAGAACTGAGGAATGGGGCACTCACATAAGGTTGGCACAGTTGGCTGTGGTTAAAATCCACCAGGGGTTGAGAATGGAGCCCGCACAGAAATGTTGGATGGACAGTTTGAGAGATACAATCCAGGGAAATTCACCCATTTCCGCTTCAGAACAGCTTGGGCATTTGGGCAAAAAATCAGGCCTCAGGCCACATCCTGAAAAACCAAAGCATTAGAAATTGATTTATTGCCTTCAGACCTCAGTTTTGCTCAGAAGTCTGAAGTGGGATTATACAGTACTGTCCATTTCATCCCAGACTGATGGCAGCAAAGAGCAGGGAGGAATTGGTGAGGGTTGTTGAGAATAAAATGGAAAGCAGAATCATCTAATCCACCTTGTATTCCTTGCAGCAAATAAGGTAGAAAATAAATATAACAAATAAAATTGGTGATATGTGAGTGCACAGATTTTGGTGGGAACAGGTAAATAGGTTTCAGTCACATTACTCACCAATTCTGTGATCCATCAGAACTGCCATCTTAAGTTGATAGGTATGAGTGCTACTATTCCATGCCAGTCCAATCTCACACTGTTTCAGTGTCACTCGTACAGCATGTTGCAAGCTGGGAATCATGGAAGTGGTTACACTGGGTGGGGGAACCAATGCTAGAGAAGGGCCAAGAAATAGGCTTTCTTCACGTTTGTGTCTGGACAACTGTTTCCCAGCTACAATTAAATGAACAGGTGTACCTTGATTGACATCAGTTTTAGCTGTGGGTGATGGGAGCTCTGTAGGAGGCACTATTATGGAGTCTGGAGATGGCAAGGGCCTTGGAGTAGCAGGTAATATTATCACATGTGGTTGTGTGTCTGCTGGTACAGTTTGGGGTGAGCGACCTGTTGTGGAAGAGACTACAGATGATGGGTACTGTGTTGTTGCAGATATTACAATTTTTGTGGGCATTACAGAAGATTGCAGTTTAAGTGTAGAAGAGATTACAGTAGATGTTTTTCTGGTTGTTGAGTCTCCAGTATTTACAGGTGTCACATGCAGTGAGGGTTGTGAAAAGGAGTGGCTGGTTGAGGGTACTACAGGTGTGAATTGAGAATTTGATGAAGGTACTAGAATAATTACGTGATTAGTTGGTGGGGAAGGCTCTACTACTTTTGATGCAAGTGTAGAGTGATCTGCAATTATAGATACTACATGCAGTGATTCTGTAGATGTGGGTGATGAGGGGATGGTCATCATGGTTGTTTCAAATGGTGGCAATTTGATTGCCATGGCTGTTTCCAATGTTTTGGTTGTCATGGTTTCTTCTAATGGTGCTGCACTCATTGTTTGAGGTACTTCAACTATTTGTTCTACAAAAGGTAGCATTACAGGCACTTTTAGGGTTGCTGAGGAAGGCTGGACGGTTGATGTGATGAACTGTCCTGCTGGAAATGTTACAGGCTGTTGAGGTGTTGAAGGCAATTCTTTCACTGTTTCAGACGTGACAGGCAATGGTGATATGACAGATGGTTCTCCTTTATTAGAGTCATTACTGACTGCTCCTTCTCGCCACAGCCAGGTCAGATGGGGTAGAAGCTGGGCAGCCAGAACAGGAGCTGCACAATCATGCAAGCTCTGGCTCACAATGCCCACTGCCTCCCAGAGCCCACTGGCTGGATCATGGCAGATCACAGGACTGCCTACAGGCACCTGCAACAGAAGAGGGAAGAGGGCATGAGCATCAGATACGACATGAAACAGCATATGCAGATCCTAAAAGGTGTCATGTTATGTATCTTTTGCTGATGGGTCAGCTGCTTCTCTGAGGTGTTTCACTGATGTATCTCTGTTGATGGTGCTGGTGGTGTCTCTTGTATTCTGTCAGTGTAACAAGCCTTCTACCATTGCCCCCTCAGCCAGTGGATCTTGAGTACAGGATTGCTCTGTTAGCCAATTCAAAGTATTTCTGAACCAGTTTCAAAAGAGAAAAGTAATAATTCAGAACATAGGAACTCAGGAAGCTACCTTACAATGAGTCAGACCCTTCATTCAGCCACCCCAGTTTTGTCAACACTGACTGGCAGCCACTCTCCAAGCAGGAAGTTTTCCTACTCTGGGAAAGCTGGAGTTCAAGCCTGAAACTTCTGCATGCAGAACATGTGCTCTGTCACTGAGCTATGGCTTCTCCAGAGTACCCCCATGGCTGGGAAAATAAAAACAATGCTGGAAATAGACCAAGAGGACATTTGCCACTTGAAACAATAATTGTCATGTTCTTGGTGCCATAAGTGGGGTTTTCTCATGAAAATTTCAGGGAGTTCTTGGCTCTGAACACTAGAGGAAATGTAACAGTGAAGATACTGCACGGGACTTCATCATATTGGAAAGCAGAAGAGTACGTTTCCAGCCTCAATCCTGACCATGAATTCATTCATATGGATTACCCTGCAATCTTTGTCGTCAGATGTCTCTTTTCCAACACACAAGGTCTGTTCTTCTGTTGTGCCAGACCAATGTGTAGCACATTCTGATGTCCTCAAAGCATTCACAACAATCTCCTTCAACAACCATCTCTTGGGTCCTGTGGAGACAGAAGACCTTCGGCTACAAAGCCTGTTAGCATAGCCCAGGAGATCCTTAACAATAATCTCTGCTCTCGGTCTATAACCAGGACACTGTGCATGCTATGTGTAAACAACATTTTTAATAAATCTGAATTCTTAAACAGATTCTGAAAGCCTACTGAACCTCCTTCAAGATTTTGAGCTTTCATCTAAGAAAAACCCAATATTCAAAAACATTTCTGTATCTGAAAGAATTATAAACGATCAACTGACAAATTAATCCTGATGCTCTTGGGATTCTAAACTGTGTGTCAAACTACTTGCGATGCATGTAGAACAGTTCACACAGATGTGCTGGAGACACCCAAACCTATCTATAGCTTGCTATTGTTCTGTCACTTACAAACTTATCCATACACTGGCTTCAACCCCTGGCTTAATAACCACTTTCCCCATAAAAGTGATCCCTTAAATTTTGATGGAACATCTATGAACTCACCACGATGGCCTCGTTCGTAAATCCTACATTCTTCCTGTGTGTCATAGGGTTTGGATTCCCGGGGGACGCAAACTGGCCATATGTCTTTCTTTCTTAGATCAAGTGGTTCACCAAGCATAATGAGTCCCAGGTCATTATTAGGCATTGTGTCCCAGGAACTGAAACCCCGGTGTGACAGGAACTGGCTCACTGTCTTGGTGGAGACATGCCCATGCAACCCGGTCAATTCTATATGGCTTGGCTTCCTGCAAGACAAACATGGTAGCTTTTTAAACTCAACTAAGGGAATCCACTGTTTTCCTGAAATGTGGTCCTTACTACAGCTTGCAAAGTAGTGGTATGCAATGTCATGTCTGTGGGCATCAGTGTGCCTCTAGACACTTTGTTTGGTGCCCACTAAGACATGCTGCTTCTCCCTATTTTGCATTACATAATATTTTTCAGTTACTGGGATTACTTCAAAGAAAGGTGGGAGCCTCTAGCTGCTACCATCCTTATTCCCCATGAATACCTCTGGACAGGTTGCCTGTTTGTGAGTAGCTGTTCTGGTGCATAGTAACCATTTTATGTTTGTACCAAGGACACTTTCTCAGATGTTCAAATCTGCCCACAGACCCAGAAGGATTACCTACATCTGCTATAAGAGATTCCATTGTAGAACCAACAATTCCAGGGCCAGAGTTAACAACCCTATCAGGAGAAAAACAGTTCCAGTCTTGCACATTACTCACATCAGCAGGAAGCAGTTGGCTGCTGTCAGGATCCACCAGCTGCTTAGCACAACACCTAGGCACCTCTTGCCATTGCCAAACACATTCACTAACCATGGTGCTTCCAAGGTGTAATTCTGTTGTGGAGACACATTGTGGGCTTTCTCCCACTTGGGCTGCACATAATGAAGGCCACAGACTGTAGGGAAATAGTAGAACACTGTAGGATCCATCCACCCAAGCATCCTATTTGTGGTAAATACAGACTCCAATAAGAAATTGAGTATTAGATATAAAGCTGGGAAGAACCAAATTGATAAAAGGCTGTTCAGGGGCTCACCAGTATTCCAGGAAGGTTCAGATGCAGCACTGAGTTCCAAACAATAGTTAATTGTTATGGGCTAATCTCATGCACTTGTGTCATGTACTATATAACCCAAATATATAACCTCACCCCAAAGAGTATCTGAATTGTATAGAAACTCTTCTCCAGCCCTTCCTTCTTTCCAGAACCGGAGTTCATAAGTGTCCTGGCTATGGACATTTTTGCTTACAGCTGGAGGAGGTAGACAACAGCAGCTGGAAGACAGTGCAAAGCTGGAAGAGAAGATCCATCCTTCTTCTCTGTGGCAGAGGGAGGTCAGTGAGCCATAAATGAGCATCATAGGAAGGCTGAGATGAAACAGGGCAATCCACAGATCCTGCTGGGAGTCAAGTCAGCACTTGAGAAATCTGGAATGGAACCTTGAAGCACACAAAAGACTCATCTGTGACCTCAGCTTCATAGAGCTCTAGTTGCTTAACATGGAATCCCTTAGTTTGCTTCGGTCATCTCTTTTGGCGATTTATGGTCCTTTGGTTCCGCTTCTTCATGCACTTTTGTTCCAAAATACACCTAATCCCAGCACATTATCCTCAGCCTCTCCACTCCCCTCTCCACTATGTATGTATGTATGTATGTATGTATGTAAAACTAGTGCAATAATGGATGTTGCAGTATTTTAAAAGCAGGGAGGCTAATTGTGTTTTAAGGTGTTGCTATACTTAAGGGGCATTTTCAAATATAAGCTATGGATTGTCTGGCAACTTATTAATGTATGAATACAGTATTATCAAATTAGCATATCTGCACCTGCTTATGTTCACTGATGGCACTTCCTACCCCAGAGTCTATGTAGGTGTATTTATTCAGGGTATACACATTCTTTATTGTGACAGCAGAAGTGTGACATACTGTTCTTCTCAGTAGAATTTTACTTTTTTTCTAAGATATTCCACAAAAAATCCCTGATATTTGTGCCAAAGGGTCAAAACTTAATTGTTATGATATAACAAGAGTTATGAGTTCCTTAAGGAGCTAGTAAGAATTCCAAAAGATTTTCTGGACTCCAACATTTAAAAAGTTGAGGAATTTGGCACATTAAAAATTCAACTTGAGTCTTTCTGTATGGTTAAACATACACATAGCCATAAAAATATATGTGAACACAGTCTCAAGTTGAAGTTATCCAGTTTTAAGGTGTTGATATTTATTGTAATTATAAATATCTGATTTTGCCACTGCAACTCATGCTGTAGTCACATCTGGTTTGGATTATTTCAACACACTCTACATGGGGATGCCTCTGAAGAGTGTTTGGAAACTCCAGCTGGTTCAGAAAACTATTGCCAGACTGCTGACTGGGACTGGGACTGGTTATACGGTGCACAGAACTACTTTGCCAAAACCACTTCACTGGCTCCCAGTCTGTTTCCAGGCATAATTCAAAGTGTAGGTTATGACCTAACAAGCACTATATGGCTTGCCTCCAGACTATCTGGAAGAACATATTCTCCCTTTGAGCCTGCCATAGCTCAAGCGGTGCCCTTCTCTTGGTCCAACTTCCTTCACAAGATGCACTTGGGAGAACCCAGGAGCCTTGCCCTGAAGCTGCTCTGAAACTCTGCCCTAGAAGGCCAGGTTTGTGCTCTTCGTCAAGGTTTTGGAGGCAGACAAATCACTTTTGTATTCCAGAAGGCCTTTAGGAATAGCCTGGACCTGTGAGAGTGTATTGGAATCATTCAGTCATCTATACTGTTTTTTTCTTGTCTTAATTTGTATGCTATATATTTATAACTTTTGTACATTTCTATTAACGTTTTAACTGTGTAAGTTCTTAATGCTGTAAGCTGCCTTGAGCCCAATTTTTAAAAAAGCCCTGGGAAAGTGGGTCCACAGAGAAACGGCCACTCAAAATAGTTTGTAAAGAATGGTTTCAGTTTACTAAATCTAGAAGCTACCCAAAATTGCAAATTCCCGCTCTTACATCCAACAATTGCGGAGATGCATCCTGACACCTTTAAAAATATTTTTTTCCACCCACTCTGAGGAAAGCACCGGCATTGTTTGTCCATACTTCTGGTACGTACGAGCTGGGCAAGCGGGAGGAAGTCAGGCTTCCGCTCACCCTAACTTGAGGCTACGGCCCTCCCCTACTCAAAATGGCACCGACATGGGAGGGCTTAGCGTCACTCTCAACATGGAGTCGACGCCACAAAAGGGCTTCCCCGGCGAGGTATCACGACCTGCCCTTCCCAAAATGGCAAAGCCCTGGACGAGAACCCTCCTCTAAGATGCAGCTATTGGATCGTTTGCTAAAACTCCTTTTAAAAATGGCATCAACTTGTCGGAACGGCTCTTCTGGTCACGGCGCCTCCGTGCCACACTCTAGATGGCGGCGAAACGGCTTAACAGGGTAGTTTGTAGCCTTTCTTTCTTCCCATGCAGATTAAGAAGTACCGCCCGAAGGCGCCATTCTGTGCATGCTTCGACAGAAAAATAAATTCTACCATTCCTAGCATCCTCGGCTGGGGCTGGGGGAATGTTAGGAATTGTAAGATCCCCTCCGCATCTAAGCCCTCAGGGCGAAATCATGTGCAAGTTTAAACAGGTAAAAAAGGACCTACTACACCCACTTTGCTGGGGCATGCCGGGAATTGTAGCCCCCTTTCCCCCCTTTTTAACTTGCACAGGATCGCACTTTTAGTCTCCTTAAGGTCGCTTAAACTCGAGCAATGGTGCTTTCAGCGTGGACAGAATGATGTATGGACTTTGGTCTAATCTAGTTACACAGTGTCTATTTCCTTAATGCAAGCCTAGAGAAAAAGTAAGCGTGAGAAAAGAAGCCAAGCAAGCTGTGCCCATAGGGAATATTTTCCAAAAAGTTACGCTGCGAGAAACAGGAACCAGAAGTTTCTGACATGGTACTTTAGAAAACGCATATCCGAGTGTGGTTGTGTTTTGTTTTTTTGTTTTAATCCCCGAACAGCAGCTAGAGATTTAAGTGGTACGGAAGGGGTGTGTAGAACGAAGCGAGAGTAGACGTGGAGAAGCGATGTCATTCACATTGGGATTTCAACTAAAGGGTTGCATTCCTCCGCTGCTTAAGTCTCACGAGTTTACCCTGCGACTCTCCAGACGTTGTTACGTTTTGGTGGGGCAGGGGAAGCAGAGCATGGGAGCGAGGACTGTGAAGAGATTACTTCTGTGTCACAATTATTCAGGGATTTCCAAAAGAGCCCAAAAGGAGCGCGCAGAGAAGTTAATACTAGTATGCCTCCCTCAGTACCATGCCCCCTCCCAAATCCACTTTGTTTACTTTGTTGGACTAGAATGCAAAATCCGAAGGTGGGCAGTACCACCCAAAATGTGCAAGCTTTCAGGTTCTCCAGCAGACACAGTTAAGATTTTTATTTATTATTTACTAGATTTGTTTGAAAGCTGCCTATTAGCATCGCACTCCCTGGGTGGCCATTACAAGTTGTGGAATTGTTATTTGTCTCTGGTGACAGGCATGTCCAGCTATGGAATTAGGCTTCTTTTCCTTCATGGACCAACACAGCCATCCTTTCTACTTTATGTTCAGCTCATAGGTATGCTGCACCCCTTACAGCACAGTTCTATACATGTGTACAGAAGTAAGTTCTATTGGGTTCAATGGGACTTACTTCCAAGTAGATGGATACAAGATTGCAGTCATAATGGGTTTATGTGTTTTAGGTTATTTAATCAACCTAAAGATGATGGAGCTGTTTCTCCAGGAAGGTCCTAAGAAGTGAGAACTATTAGAAAGCCCCAATTCCCCTCAGAACTGTTCTTCCTGCCAACAGAGGACCATGGAAAAAGCAAACAGAGTCACCTTCTGTGATTATAATGGGAATATCTATAAACAGGTGATTTCTCTATGCTGTGCCACTCTTGCATTCTGATCCTATACATGCCTATTTTGAAATAAGTCCATGTATAGTGGAAAAAGCAGAATTTGTCTCTCAAAATTGCTTTGCAATGAACCATGCTATACACTAGTTCTCCAGAAGGTGTCACAAAAGTAAACCCCATGTAGACTAGATTGCCATTGTTTCACTTCTAGTGGTGCTTGGGCTAAAGTCTCACTACTTTCTGACCACATACTGCAGCTCTTTTTGATGCTGTAGGCATAGCCCCTTTCATTTTTGCAACACCACTTTGAGGAAGGGGGAGACAGAGGGAGAAAACCAAGCTTATCTGCATACCTCTCTAAACCTTCACTTTAAAGCAGAGGTTAGCAACTTGTGCCCCTCCAGATGCCTACAACTCCCATCAGCCCTAGGCAGCAGAGTCAATAGTAAAAGATGGTGGGAATTGTGTTCCTCCAGATGCTTTGATCTACAAGTTGTGCACCAATAGGTTAAAAAGATTTTAAATTGACCAGGCTGTTTCCACTATTTTATGTATTTTATTTATTTGATGAATTTTTTGCATTTTATATGGGATTTTAATTATCGTAAGCCACCCCAAGGCTAATGCGATGGGGCGGCATATAAGTTTCTAAATAAATAAATAAATAAAAGAGGGGGTTCTGTTGGATTGGTTGCACATAATGGGGCTCAAATTCTCCCCTGTTAAAGTGGAGGGGCAATAGTTCAATAAGTTAATGAAAGTATCAGCCATAAAACTATTGCAACACTGAAAAGCTTGGCATGATGTTTCGCTGCAGTTAGCTGCTACTACCCCAGTGACAAATTACAAGGCTGGCTTCTGCGTGCAACAGGCTCTAAAAGTATTTTCCACTGTAGATTTGCTAAGTATTTCCACACCCCATCCTGTGTCCAATCACTTATTCTGGTAAGTACTCTGAAAAAGTGTCACAATGAGACATCACCTTTCCCAGAAGTTCTGCAAAGACAGCCAGAGCCAAATGAGCAGGATGTGCTCAAACATCTTTTATTGCATTTGTACCCCACCCTTCCCAGAAGCAGCTCATAGAATATTTATAATTCTCTAATTTTAACCTCCCAAGAGCCCTGGGAAATAGGATGACCTGAAATATAGTACTTATCCTGTGAGCATGAGAGATTTGTACCTGGTTCAACACATCAGGATCCACCTATGTAGCAATTGACCTCAGGGGTGACCTTGCAATCTTGACAGGAATGGATTCTTGCTTAGCCCCTTCAGAACCAGCAAGCCCCCCACCCTTTTTGTGCACATATACGTGTAATCACATAGTGTATCTTCAGAGCGCTGTATACATTTATAGGTACACTGGTGTTTAGACTGCAGATGGGGACTAAGGGAAAGCACAATGATGCACAGAGAACATGACGATGAAGGCACAATTACACTAAGGCCAGTAAAGGTTCCAGCCATCCTCCAAAACTTGGAGGGCATCCACTGGAGGGCAGAAGCAGCATGGAGGGAAGCATTGCCTTGGTGCTCTTCCCACCCTCTATAATAGTCATTTAAGTGTTTTTTATCACCTGACAAGGAGAGGAGCTGAAAGTGTTGCCAAGATTCCTCACAGGAAGGCTGTGCCTTGCTCCTCCCCTCCCACAGCAGCTCTGAGGTTGGTCTTGTAATCTTGGAGCCACAGCTGACGTGGAAAGAGTTGTGCCAGCTTTGAGGGCAGAGGGAGGCCACTCCAAATTCGGAGTCTTTGCTTCAATGTCAGAGTTCTCGGAGATTGGTGGTTGGACTTGGCTGTCTAGACAGCATCTGGGAGCTCTAGGGTTGCCTCCCTAGAGCTTGTGTTGCTGAGGGGTACAATGTAAAGATAACTGCCCCCTGCACCTAACCACTCTCAGAATTCCAACCCATCTTTTGGATGAACAAAATGTGAAACACTTCAGACACTGGCGTATATTTCTTGAAATCAACATGTTTAGAAAAAAGCAGCCGTAGTGTGTCATCAACTCTTCTGCACATTTGCCTCTGCAAAGCTGATCAAACATAAACCTTAAAGGAACACATTTTCTCTGTACTACTGGTTCAATGATGATATGTACTGAATAACTAACCTATCTATAGTATAGTGGTTTGTGTAGGGCTAGAACGGCAGAGACCCAGGTTCTGATCGCCATTCAGCCACAAAAATCACAGGATGGCTTTGAGCTAGACACTGTCTCAGCTGATCCTACCTTACAATGTTGGTAGAAAGATAAAATGGGAGTTGTAACAACAAGGTATATTATCTTGATCTCTTTGGAGGAAAGGCAGGATATGTTACAAGTTGCAGCTTTTTAGTGCTGCTCTCTCTAGGGAGGCCCACTTATGAGTTTGAGAATGCTTACACTGCAAAGTAGAGTTTGCTTACACTGCTCTTCATTCCTCACCATCAGCTGCCACAGGCTCAAGTCAATGGAAACTGCTAAGTGATAGTAATATATTGCTACTTCACTCATAGTATTATGCTCACCCAGACTATCACATCATGCAGTATGTCACCAAGTATAGTTCATCTACTAATGGAGTTTCAACATTAAATGCTTCTTCCCTCTCCCACCTTAATCATCTATAATGTCATGTTTGTGACTGTATGTGTTAGGTGTCATCGCCTCCGACCTATGACAGCCTTGTGAATGAATGCCCCCCCTCCCCCCGGTCCTTGGCAGCTGCATTCAGCTTTAGCAAGTTTAAGGCTGTGGCTTCCTTCGTATTTCAGTCTGTCTCGTATTTGGTCTCCCCTTTCATCTTCTGCTTTTGACTTTCCCTACCACAATTGTCTTCTCCAGTGAGTATTGCTTTCTCATGATGTGTCCAAAGTATGACAGTCTCAGTTTGTCAATTTTGCTTCTTCGTAAAGTTTTGTCTAGTTAGTGGTAAAGCAGTCTCTATGGCAGCAATTACATTCACTGCCCTACTGTCTTCGTGTTGGGACAGGCAAGAGTCCCTGGCTGTCATTGGCTGAGGTGCTCTAGTGCAGGAGCACACTGATCACTAGCTAGTGGCAGCTGGTTGCTAGGATTCTTGGAGGTCACACTGTAGTAGGCAGAGCTTGCTCAGATCAATCAAAGCACTTCTATTCCTTAAAGCAAAAGCACACTTTTAAAAAAATACTACACGAAACTTGGGTTAGCCTGTCCCTGCTTATGAGGGCCAGAGGAAGCAGAAAGCCCTACCAAAGGAGAAAGAAGACTGAGAGGACAGCCAGCCAAAGGAAACAGGGGCA